AGTGTAGTGCCAGGGGCAGGTAGAACCGGCCGGGTAGCTCAGTAGGTAAGAGCACTCGCCCTGTAAGCGAGGGGTCCCGGGTTCGATTCCTGGTCTGGCTGGTGATTTTTCTGCACTCACCCCAAATCGCTACAATGGTGGCAGCGGTGTTGCGAGATAGGGCTCGCGTCTTTCGGCATTTGGGGGGGAGGAGTGTAGTGCCAGGGGCAGATAGAACCGGCCGGGTAGCTCAGTAGGTAAGAGCACTCGCCCTGTAAGCGAGGGGTCCCGGGTTCGATTCCTGGTCTGGTCGGTGATTTTTCTGCACTCACCCCAAATCGCTACAATAGTTAAACTTACCTGCAAGCTCACTGGAATACCTATTTCAGTTATTCAACCTGCATCTCCGTCCGACTCTCAGGTGGAAATCAAATTTTATGGGGCGCGGTCTTTCAACCCTTGACCTCCACGTACACATACGAACATATACGATACACACCGAACACAATCATAGCTAACACAACAAACACAGCAAACCTTACATTGGTAAAAATCAAATGTGTTCCCCCTTCGAACTTGTAATTACAAATAGCATATGAATGCTCTAAAAACCAGCACATGTATATTCCGAAACCGCCTTGCAGTAAAAAATGTCACCAAAACGTAGAATTATTACTCCTGTGGACTTGAAATAAACATCCGTTTGATTTTGACTATATTCCGTAACCGCCTCGTCGTCAGAAATAACAATAAAATACTAGAATTATTACTCCCGTGAACTTGTTATAAACATCCGTCGATTTTGACTATATTCCGAAACTGCCTCGTTGTCAGAAATATCACCAAAAAGTAAATTTCATTCTCCTTTGCACTTGTGAAAAATTAGTTTGACTATATTCCGGTCCGACGCTCCTTTTTTATTAGAAATGTCACTAAAAAGTAGAGGTTTTGCCTTGGGACCTTTTTTCCGCAGCAGTCCAAGCTTGGTGTGGCTCAGCTGAGACCCGCATGGTCAGCGTCGACGGTTGATTAAATACTTTTCAAGCAAATGAACGTCCACGACAAGTATTTAACAAAAATTGACCAAATTGGTCAGACATTACGTAAGAATTATGCGGGAGGTGACCAGCGCACGTGGACGAGTTTATTCCGTATAACATCTCTAGAGAGTGATATAGGGTCACTTTATTAGGTTTTAGGGGTGTTTTAGGATGAAATGACTGTATTTTTTCTCGGTATGTATGTCACCCTCTCGCGATATATGCCATGAACACCTTTCGCTGACGCTCGAGGTGTTATGGCATATATCGCTCGGGTGACAGTGTATTATCTCACACATAATTCCCTGGTTTAACAAACAAAGCCTATTTATATATTGAGTCCGCTTTTATATGATACGCACTCAGTAAAGTAATTGGCAACCTTGACTTAAATTCATTGTACTATAAAGTACACACAAGCGCGCGCGTGTACACACACGCTCTGAAATGTAGACACATGTTGGGCGACACACTTATATAAACTGCATTAAAGCTATTCCTTTCAAATCAGAATATCCACATATAATGACTAACATTGAAACTGTCCACGTGATACTTTTAGCTGGCTACCCGGTGTGTACCTGACACGGATCTATGCTATTCGTGCATTTAAATTATGGCTGCTTCCTTTTGCGATGTTAAAATTGGGCCAGCCTACCCACTTCACTTTGATATTGACATTGAACACTTAATCTTTCATCACATTTTGACCCTGTTCTTCATCTTTTTTTTTCTCTAAGAAAATAGATCAAACAAAAATAAATAGGATAGTGCCTTAATTGTCACAGCATAAATTAGAAAGTTGGCATATCATTGACTACGCGCGAATCAGTTATGCCCGACGGCGTGAGTCGTATGCGGAAGAGGGTAAGTCCTCATTGTCGCATTGACTTTTTTTACATCCAGTTCGGAATGGTTTTCAAAGAAATTCATAATAAAGGCAAGTGAATCATATACAGAATATCTGAAGTATGCGTGAGTGTTTGAAGGTTAATATGAAGAATACCCTGGTAGACAATTAATTAGCTTGTGCTTCTATACACTTAATCACCTGTCTCTTTCTCTCTCTCTCTCTTAAAGTTAATGCACGTGAAATGTATTCTCTTTAGTAAATGGCAATCATGTACCAAAAATAGGGGCAAACTCTCATCGCTGATATTAGTCATTTTAGTCTCACTTACAGTGTAGTGCACTGGCCATCAGACGACATAAAGTCTTGAACCTACAGGCACCGGTATATTATAAAACACCTCCTCACCACTATAAGGCCCCAATCCTATAGATACCATAGTCTATGTGGATCGAACCAACTCTGCAGGGATCTCGCTGTCTGCCTCCTCCTGACGTTAAGTACAATACAGAAAAGGTGGTGACTTTACGAGAATGCTGAGAAAAAGAGGAGACATGTCATTCAGTTTAGCTCCTTGCACTTAGCAAGAGACCACCCCCCCACCCCAGAGTTGGATCGGTCCACGTGAATGATGGTACTATGGGAATGGGGTCTAACATATCTACCAGAGTACATGATTAACAGTTTACTACTTTTGAGTAATGTATTTCAGGAAAAATTGTCTAATCTCCGTCCTTGGCTAATGCAAATTAAAGTTTTATCTTCCAAGCAGGTGAATTGGAAGCATTATTTCTTCGGTGCAAAGCCGTTGCATCCTTGACAGTAATAATTTTAAGGTTGCCCCCTATCGTAGACTAAGAACAAAATGGCGGGATTCGGCCAGTAGTAGTTAGCGCCCTCTGGATCTCCTTCCTGCGAGACTTTGCGAGCTGTGCCGTCTGCGCTTGCCCCAAGAAACACGTTACTTCCGGCACTGTAAATGTTGAACCTGAAATTTATAAATCAGCCAATAGTATATAATTATCATAGCAATAAAGTTAATAAATGAGACGCCATTTATGAAAACTAAATTCGGTTTTGTTAAAGAAGTTGCTGCCATCGAATCGTCAAGTTAAATGACTAGCAATTCTGGTAGGCAATTTATTAATTTATTGCGCATAAAAATGATAAAATGTTGTAATCATGCTTATAAGTACCTTATGTTTCGTCCAACTTCTGGCATTGTATACACTGGCCACCTTGACGGGTTGAATATTTGAGAATGGGTCGGTTGTGAAGCGTCTACGTCATTTGACTCATTTGAGGGGTTCTGTTTGAACAAAATGGAAACGTGTATAATAAACAGCAAACTGGTGTTATTCAAACGAGTAATTAACCCTGATGAAAGAAAACTTCTCTAGGGGAGATCTGATCGTGACACAGCCAAGGTTTGCCAGCTGAGAAAGGCGTAGGCCTACTGATACTATTTGGATACTATTCCAAATGATAAATATTCAGTAACATGACATTATACTCACGAAAATATAAATGTAACGATCATGTGACATTTTGTTTCACGGAGAAATAGGCCCTATACTGTGCAACTACTTGATAAAACTCCTAAAAATCGGCACCAAGCAAATTCTTGAACAAAAGCAACATTTCATTCAGCCAAGACAAATACAAAAACTCTATTTAGCGTCTTCAAAATATCTTGCAAAGAACAGACAAAGAGGAAGACTAATATCCTCCACCGTACAACTGCAGGTATGTGACTTTCTGACAAAATGAATTGCAAAAAGAGCATTTCTGTTAATATGGTTGAATTTTCATATTTTTAAAAACAGTCATGTCCAGGTTGGTACATGTATAGGATAATACTATGTTTGTCTTTGAATGTCAGGACTTAACAATGACTTTCTAAACGCACCTCTGCCTTGGTCATCCCTTAATGAGCTTTGTTATCAACGTGAACGGTGTACCATCAATTGATTATGGAACTATGGTGTGCTTTATGTCAATAAGGACTATCCAAAGGACTATCGTAACGTACCTGTAGGGAATGTCAAATCTTACCTCAGGTTTTGCGACAACTATATCGCCATCCACAGTAATTGTATACCATGTGTTATCTCCATCTTGCTTAAATTGGTAGCCGCGGATTTTCAAAATAACTGGGTCGAGATCGGTAACTACATACCAAGGCACATCTTGAGGAGAATCAGTCTTCCGAGCAGTTGCAGGAAAATTGCTCTGCCAAGTAAACTTCGCTGAAAAAGGAGGATGCATACATTGACATTTGTCTAAGCCTTGGACACATTTGATACAAAACGTATGTGATAAGAAATACCCTAATCAAGTTTAGCGATATTAAAACGACTGCGGACATAGGAAAAGGGAAAAAATACAAACGACATTAAAAAGACTACATAAATAGAAAGAGGAAAAGTTTCGCTTTTTCTCAATACATGTACCTCAAGCCGTAAAATGATATGCACACTTTAAGAGCTAAATCACTGTTTTTACTTAATGAAAATAGGCAGGGACATAAAAAAGCATTCCATAAACAAAAATTTGGCAGTTACTTGCATCAGCGTCCAATGTTCCGGCCATATCAACAACGTATTCGTCTTTGTCCGGGTCCACTTTCACGTTGGTCACTTGCAGAAATCCATCTCCTGCATTGGACATCACTGACCACAGCGACACAATATCACCGTCTCTAGGCTGAAATGAGGCAATTTTCCGTATTGTATTGTACTGTATTGTATTATCTTGTATTGTACTGTACTGTACTTACTGTACTGCACATGTATTGTATTTCATTACATCACGTCACGTCACATCACATTACATTACTTTACATTACACTAAAACAACGGTGTCAATACATTTAGATCCTGCTTAAAGTAGCAAAAATGGACGGACATTGAATCAGTAAGCAGACAAATCTACAAAGTCTACGATAAACACAAGTCGTAGAAATACATGGATAAATAAATAAAGTAAACGATTATGAAACATCATGTATATTTAGAATAAAACAAATAGTTATGTTTATTCGTGCAATACTAATGAAATAGTACATGTGCTTTAAATATACTCACAGGTGGATACAAACAAACAAACGTGGAAAATAATGAAACGAGTGTAAGGCAGACACAGGGACAGACAAACAGATAATGTTTACGCATGCGCAGACGCACCTGATTGGACGGTGCTGACTTCCTATTGTCATGGACTACAACTTGCACTCCACAATTGGGCAAAGGCACGATGTCGATCTTGAAATCCTCGGTGTCACAACGTGGTGGGCGTGGCAGAACCCGATCTTCGGCGCTTTCGCTCGCCAGAGGCTAAAAGGACAATGTTATACTATAAATGGATCCTGCTACTTTCACAATACAGTACCGGGTATACATTTGTCTCTATACCCTCATGATGCAAATCGATTAAATCACAGTCTAGGTTTTATGACGTCGTGTGAAAACAGATGTAGACTTCCCACTTTTGAAGGATTGAATTAGGGAAGATGTAGGGAAAATGTAGGGACATTTTTTAATGTGCTTTTGTTAATAATAATAATAATAATAATGAAATAATTGTGGGCCTAGGTCGTATCATAAATTGTATCGATCCCTTAGGGAGACAAATCATCAGTATTAACTTGGAACTACGATGCACTGTTGCACCCTGCGTCAAAGGCCTGCTTTCTCCCACAGTAAACAATATCTCCCGATTTGGTGAGCCAGATCGGGATGCACTATAATCAGGGTGTAAGTAAGGGTGTAAGTGGTCTCCCCGCCTCTCACGCCTCCCCACGCGTCGTCCCTTCGGGAGCACAGTAAATAAATCTCGGCTCAACTCAAACGGTCGGGGGAACACGCGTGGGAGAGGCGGAAAGACCATTACAGGATTAAGCAGTCTTCCTTTGATGTAGGTCCGCCATTTTTATGTCGAGGCCTAGCTAGCACTCGGGTCTTCTCATTCTCAATAGTCTCTGTCTCGTGGGCACATTTGGGACAGAGAAAGCCAAGATAGACACGTACACGGTGCACATACAATTCGAAGTGTACTGTGTGTAAAAGAGACAAAATGTCAAAAGTTTAAGTATACTCGGCGTAGTTCCGTCGCAGGTACTGAACCCGCTCGATCGTGTATTATACCAGGGAATTATATCGTCCCTGATCATACGAACGATTTCATATCTCGCGTGCATTTCCCAGATGCCAAGGCAACCACTTTGCACGCCGAAAAGGCCGGTGTCACGAAACTAAGGGCCCGTGTAACAGAAAGTCCGCCCTCCATATAATTATGGGCTAGGTAAGGTTTGGAATGATCTAAGTAGGTCAGAATCTACAGGGCGACGCTTACCTGTACAAATGAATGGGAAGAAAACTATCATGGGGGACTCTCTGTCACGTTGCACCGGGATATTTTAAAGGCAACGGGTAAGATGCAAATACAGGCCTAACCAACTACCAGACTCGGCACCGAATGATCCTGAATTCACCGGTAGATCAGACCACACTACCCGTTTTCAAGGTGTGTGTCAGATTGCATTACACAGTATCATACCCTGAACAAATTTTGAGTAGTGATGCAATGCTTTTCAACCCCGCTGAGAATCGTCACTATCACATCGCGTACTAGGCAAGAGCGGTGTCGCGTCTGATACTGTGTAATGTGATCTGACACACACCTTGAAAACGGGTAGTGTGGTCTGATCTACCGGCGAATTCAGGATCATTCGGTGCCGAGTCTGGTAGTTGGGTAGGCCTGAAATAGTGAAAAAGGTTTGTTTTTTTTCGACACTGAATTCTAAATTAGGAAATATAAGAAACTGTACGGGATAAAATTAGGACTGTGGATCATTCTCCAACGCGTACACTTTACTTTCAATTTTTCATTGTAAAGCCTACCTTGAGCGTCTATATGGAATGTATGTTTTTTTTCTTTTGTTTCATTTTTTAATTTTTGTCATTTTATGTAAAAAAATTGGACTTCAAAATCGTCTTTGTGGCGTGGTCAGTGATAACAACCTTGGGACAATGATAACAACCAAGTAAGGCTCCCGAAAGTATTGTATGACAACAATAGGATATGCCTTCCCGAAAGGCACTTGGATTAAAGGAAGATGTCCATCTAGTGTAACATAAGTCCTGGGTATAAATTATGGATAATTAACAAAGTAGAATACTCGGCTTCGCCTGAAATTAGCACGCATGTCCTAGTCACATAAATGATGTATTTCTAGAAAGTGAAAGATATTAGTAGGCGTACTAGCACGCATGTCCTAGTCACATGAATGACGCATTTCTAGAAAGTGAAAGACATTAGTGGGAAGGGCATAAGTAAAAGAAAAGGACAGTGGAGGAAAGTGTGTACATACACATGCTAAGTGTGTGTGTGTGTGTGAGAGAGAGAGAGAGAGAGAGAGAGAGAGAGAAGGAAAACTAGAGAGAGAACAAGAGACGTACAATTATGTACAAATACAAGCATGTGCACAGGTGAGGGACGATAGCCATGAATGTATATTTACCTGACGCTCATCGTCGTGTTTAGCCCTTGAACCGCTGCGGTTTCCCATATCGTCACTGCGAAGGAAAATACCGTTAAACGACCTAGCTGCGATGTCATGCACAGTTTAACAAACAAAGCCTATTTATATATCGAGTCCGCTAGTATATGATACGCAGGCAGTAAAAGAATTGGCAACCTTGACTTAAATTCATTGCACTAGTTCACACCAGCGCGCGCGCGTACACACACGCTCTGAAATGTAGACACAAGTACATGTCGGGCGACATACCTATATAAACTGTATCATAGCTATTTCTTTCAAATTAGAATATCCACATAGAATGACTTACAATGAAACTGTCCACGAGATCCTTTCAGCTGGCTGCCCTGTGTGTAACTGACACAGATCTTTGCCGTTCGTCTCTTTAAATTTTGGCTGCTTCCCTCTGCACTGTTAAAATTGGGCCAGCCTACCCCCTTCACTTGGATATTTGAGATTGAACACGCTTAATCTTTCAACACATTTTGACCCTGTTATTTTGTGTCTTAAGAAAATAGATCAAACACAATCAAATATGATAGCGCCTTGTCACAGCATAAACCCACCGCCCATGGAGTCAAGTCGATTAGAAAGTAGGCATTGCATTGACTACGTGCGAATCAGTTATGCCCGACGGCGTGAGTCGTATGCGGAAGAGGGTAAGTCCTCATTGTCGCATGCCCTTTTTTTTACATCCGGTTCGGAACGGTTTTCAAAGAAATCCAAAAATAAAGATCAATAAAGGCAAGTGAATCATACACAGAATATCTGAAGTATGCGTGGGTGTTTGAAGGTTAATATGAAGAATGCCCTGCTAGATAATTACATGTAATTAGCTTGTGCTTCTATACGCTTACAACCTCTCTTATCAGAGTCCTGCTAGTAGGGCACCTCAAATTAATATTTTATCTGTTTGTTAGAGGCCTTTACTTTTAGTTTTATGGATCACTCAAGATTTTGTATACTTTATGTACAGTGGCAAAGGGTTCAAGATGTAATCCGGATTATCGGGAATTGACAATTCAGCGTAGAAAAGTATATCGGTACGTTCATATTTTTCATATTTTTATCTGCTTGTTGGAGGCCTTTTCTTTTAATTCTATTGATCATTCAAGATATTGTAAACGTTACGTAGAATAGGGCTCAGGGGATAATCGAAAGTATAAATACATGTTTAAGCGATTTCATTCTGTTGAACTTAAGAGATAGGCAGAGTGACAGCTCAATGCAAGGGCAATGTATTTAGTGCCAAGTTCATCATAGACTTGTTTACACAAATAATAATCTTTTCTTTCTTTCTTTTTTTTTTTTTTTTTTTTTTGGGGGGGGGAAGGGGGGGGCAAAAGTGCAACCACTTCATGCAGCTTTCTGAACCGTAACGGAGAAGTATTTGCAGTAGGTCGTAGCATTAAGATCAAACTACTGACGTACAGCTGAAACCCACAGAGGACGCTAGTACATGTACCAAGCACTTTCTTTTTTTATCCTGATTTGTCGTCATTTCCCGATAATCCGGATGTATAGAACGTGCGTGGGCGTAAGGCATGTTTCAAGGTCTTGTTTTCATCCGCCGTAGAATGATAGGATACAATGTTCAGCCGCTGTGAAATAACTTGCTCGTATCCCGAAATTTGTTCATTTTCCTTACTTCTGGTCATTTTGTTGGATATTGCTGTTACATATGATTAAAAGGTTAATTTCTACTTATACACTTAAACACACACGGCAGTCCTTCTCTTCCTCCTCCCCTCTCTCTCTCTCTCTCTCTCTCTCTCTCTTGCACACACTTATACACACACTGTACAGCCTAAGCTTCAGGTATGTCACGGTGCCCCGGCGACCTTAAAACAACATGATACCTGTGAGAAATGGAACTTGACAGGGGTGCTGTATATAATTACCGATACACTTCAACGAAGCAGTGTATAGATAAGTACTGGGTAAAAGCAGTAACACGTTCTAAATTCACGACTATGAGGGTGCGAAGGAAGTGTGTAGGAGGAAGCGACTACGAGGGGATAGTTTTAGCCCCCGTATTTCCTGTGGTTACGAATGAGGTGGCTGACGAAAATGGGGTCAGTACCCCCTGTACCCCCCCCCCCGCTCTTTTGCCCCTGCTGGTATCGGCACATACAGGTAGGAATACTAGTACAAGCCAAACTTTACCCATGCAGAAATGCATATACATAACTTATTTATTAAATAAATACAACTTATATTCCAACGGTATAATAATTATAATATTCCAATCTTGCAGAATGCACTGTTCTTTTTTTTTTTTTTTTTTATTTTAAATCAAGCCATTATTTGTCAGTCACATATAGTCATGCCTTAAATGTAGCAGCAGAGCACATCTAAACAGGTAACGGACGTTCGCTCACAATTCTCACACATTACTATACGTAGATCCTGGTCTGCACTTGTGGAAGACAAATAACACACCATCCTGGTGGAGAAAAAATGATGACATCAGATTAGTAATGGTAGAATGAATATATTAATCTGGTTAAATGAAAAGTATATTCGGGACATTCCATTAAAATACAATAATTATTGTATACGTAGCGTGCAAGTAAGCCATTTGCCATTTATTTCGTTATATAAAACAGGCGCAAAGTTTTAATTAATTAAAAACAGTCTCCTACTAATTAATCTACCCTCAGATCAGACATAATTTCATTTAAAGACCAGAATTCAAAGTTAATCGGTAATATGAAACATGACATTTCCCGAAAATAAATAAAATGGTCCCAAGGCCTACATGTGATCACCCCCTTTCGTCAAAAACGTAGGCCTACCTCACTGCTACATTGTACAAGACTGACACGCTGCCAGTATGAACGAAGGGATAGCTTGAATAGCAATCTACATACAGCATATACATACCCTAACTAGAAATGGAAAATCCGTCCAAAAGTCCTTATTTGGAATCACGTCTGTACCGGATTTATGGCGAATGAATTTCTGAGTAAGGATGCCACCAATGAGGTATATGGGGATCACAGTGACCAAGCTGGAAGTGAAATGCCATGCCTTTGAGATAAAATCTCTGTGAAAGGTGTTGAGATTATACGCCCAGAATAAAAAAATATGTAGCGTTACTTTTAAGAAAAAAAAATAAAATAATAAAGAAATAAATAAATAAATAAATAATAGAAATAGCTAATGCGTAATAGCATGTGCACGAAACTAAGTCAGTTCTCCCATCCTTTCCACCCCTCCTTTCTCTCTAGGAAGCAAACACACACACACACACACACACACACACACACACACACGTACGCACCAGAAACTTGTATGTATTCGCCTGCATGTCGTTTGCATACAGGTACATGTATGTGTATGTGTTTATGTTCAAACCTACATAGTCAACATTTGGACAGGAGACAAAACACACAAATAGTCGGATGGTGCGTATTATTCCAAGCTGATATTTTTTCTGTGAAAAAAGGATATTTTGTCAAACTTACACGTGCGCCCGCACGCACACACACACACACACACACACACACACACACACACACAGTCCACCCACATGATCATCATAACTGATCCTCCTCCTATACTGGCTTCGGACTTGTCCTTTCCTCCCTGTTTGGCTGCCTTGTCATCTTTGCCCCCACTGCTTCCCCCGCCGGTCCCACCGCTGCCGCCACTGTCACTGCCGCCTCCAGGGCAAGCATACTTGCTCTTTAGGGTCATATACTAATCAGAATAAAACACAATATTATGTGAATAAGTTTATCTATTTTTTTAACATTATTCATAAACATGTTTATAGGGGATAAAAAAATCACATCAGATATATCAAATGGCTTGTACTCATTTCTTCTTGTCGAAAGCCCTTTGTTCATGGGAGACAAAACTTTCTATACTTCGTCATGCATTTACATTATTTGCATGTAGTTACTTGCATACGACCACAAAAAGTCCTAATGTTAAGAAAATAAGAAAAAAATAATAAAAACATGCAAAAATATCACCTTGATATATCTTTAACAGCAAAGGCTAACCACTCGGCCATGTGGTAGAAATTGACTGTTTCTTTTTTAAGCTGGGTAAACTCAGAATTTAAAACAAAATGCATGAACTTTTTAAAGGGGCGTACTTTCCAGTACTTACGTATCTTCTCGACGACTTTTCACCGTCGGCGGTCAATTGGGCATCAACTTTGGAGTCGCATATAAGTGTTATGTACGTAAACCTAGAACAAGAAAATTGCTCTTAAACAAGGATGTGAGACTTTTAAGGGGTGTCCATACAACTATAAACCTACATGTATTAAAATAACCGGCGTCGACTTTACATCTATATTTAAGTAAGCTGCATTAGCTGAAAAAATAACTAAGACCATATTTGTATAATTAAATATTTTATTTGTATTCTCTCTCTCTCTCTCTCTCTCTCTCTCTCTCTAATTGTGTGTTTATGTGTCTACACGGTGCGTGGGCTTTCGTGTTTCGGTTTGTCTGCACGTGTTTCAGTGTTTGCGTGCTTGCGTGCGTGCATGTGTGCACGTGCGCGTTCAGCGTGATACGAAGATCCTGCACCTACCTTGTAACGCCGTAATGCGTGTTGGTGTACGTGAGGATGATGTTCGTGGACCCGTCTGACGTAAACTGGGCTGTGTTCTGGCTTCCTATAGGATAATAGCTGGACCACCAAGAGCCACTGCTCTGTATTTGACACGCCTACAACGGAGATTATTTTATACCAGAATAGTACTTCAGTTTATATCAATATCATGGGTTGAAATAAGAATTTAAAGTACTTTGTGAATAAAAGATTGCAAAACAATCATTAGACACAGTAGGTGTATATATCAATGGTGGAGAAGGAATCTTATAATCCGATGAAGACTGAAAAAGATAACTACATTTTGGGCATTAACAAATCAAGAAATTAGAATTGTTTAGAATTATTTGCTTCTCGTTTGGCTGAAGACGGGACGGAGAGCCAGGTAGGGGTGGTGCTTTTGTTTTGGAAAAAGTGGAACGGTTGTGATGGTAGATCGTTTTTATTTATAACGAAGTAGATTAGGTCCCGGGATCTGCGGTTGTTTAACCAGGGAGTTATAACTCCTTGATTTAACATATCCTAAATCGCAGCCTCAAACAAAATATATATCTTTAAACTATAACTTTGATATAAATACAATTCAGAGAAAATTAATTTCCCCCAAGAAAAATATTCAGAAAAATTATTAACAGTGCTCTATTTTAACTATACAGCCTTAATGAAAACGGAAGTGTGAATAAGTTTTGATCATTTTTATCATGCACTTACATCTGTGAATAATGAACGAGATAGAGAACTAGGTCATTGCTGAAACTTACCGCTACGTTCTGACATGACCCTTGAGTGAAATCTTTGCAAGGATTCCAGGAGAATTTGTCTGTGCCGGAAGTGGCTTGAATGTTTTCAAATCTGGCAATAAAAAACGTACGTTGGTAAAAAACACTCTATAAATATACCGGTAGATATCAGGGGCAGATCCAGAGATATTTTCTGACAGTCTTCTGAATTATCTTTGTTAATCCATCCTCCATTTTTTACCGTCTTCCGACAGAAAATATTAGATACACGTCAATGTAAACTTTAAAATCTGACCGTCTTCCGGAAGACCCAGAAGACAGCCTAAAACTGCCCCAGCATATGTGTAATGAGGCCAATAATTAACTTAAAGATCCCAACCCCTTAAAAATAAAGTTCTTATCAAATATGTAATGTCGCCTCACACCGTTCAGCAGACAGAGGTGAGAACATCGCGCACTAATAATTCAAAGGTACCCACCTCGCTTTGCCATTGCTGAGCGCCAGAGGATGGAGGTCCACGTTACCATTTGCGTGTTTACAGCTGCAAGAATCTATCTTAGCACATGTCTCACTGGAGACCCTACGTATTGCCAGTACCAAAATAAGAGGCAACACTTTAATTGGATGAATAATGGAGAAAGGATGCATCTTGTGGCATGTGAACGTTCACGCTCTAATCACGAAATCACGTGATCCTGTGTCGCGCCCTCACTTGAAATGTCGTCACTGTTGTTGCTCCCGGGAAGGGTTGACAAGTTTTATTGCTTGATTACTTAACCAACTTGAGTACGGTTTTGAGAAATACAAGAGACAGACATACTTCCAGGCAGTGATTGAACAGACAATGATCGACTGTTTTTATGATTTCATGGTCAAAAACTGCACATGATGTGATACGTGGATTTGCTTGTTATATTACTCGAAAAATACACATGTATCTCCTTACTTTACTTTTGAGGAGCAAATATATATCATTCACTATACCGAAAGTGACAAGTCCATCATAAAATATTACAATTTCAATATATACTACTTTGTCCCCAGTGCAGTATTTACTGTTTAAAAAGTTAAAACGTTGTGTAACATCAGGCCTTTGTTCAAACAAAGGACTCCGCTACAAGCTATTGTGTCGTCGGGGTCGATTATAAACGATAGCGCTATAAATGCAGAGACCGAAAGGAAACTGAGTAGATGTACAGGGGACAAAGTCTGGACCGTACATGTGCAGATCTCTATTGTAGTGCCAGGGGCAGGTAGAACCGGCCGGGTAGCTCAGTAGGTAAGAGCACTCGCCCTGTAAGCGAGGGGTCCCGGGTTCGATTCCTGGTCTGGCTGGTGGTTTTTCTGCACTCACCCCAAATCGCTACAATGGTGGCAGCGGTGTTGCGAGATAGGGCTCGTGTCTTTCGGCATTTGGGGGGGAGGAGTGTAGTGCCAGGGGCAGGTAGAACCGGCCGGGTAGCTCAGTAGGTAAGAGCACTCGCCCTGTAAGCGAGGGGTCCCGGGTTCGATTCCTGGTCTGGCTGGTGGTTTTTTCGCACTCACCCCAAATCGCTACACTATCTTGTTATTACCTGATTCTTCACCTGCCCCGAACAGAGACTGAGAGAACGGACTGAGGAGAAAATGAAGATTGTGCCGTGCATTATAGCAATATTTTGGGTGGTTCTTACATTTGAGAGGTAAGAAACAATACTTTGAAGTGATATAGCGTAGAGTAAGAAGAACATCCAAGTGTTTAAGCGATAACCCTGTATCAGACCAGGGAATTATATCGGAATTCCCTGATCGGACAATGCTCCGGTGTAAGACCAATAAATTCCCAGCGGGCAAACTATGTTGTTTTACCGTTGAAACAACGTTGAACCATAATGTTGATAATACGTTGGATTAACATTGGATTTGAAAGTTGACTCAACCTCAGAAAACAACGTTGTATCAACGTCAGATAACAACATTGTATCAACCCCAGTTGTAATTAGACAACATTCCTGCATGAAAAGACATTAAAATGACCTGAAATGTTTTTATTTTTGGTACAAAACACAGGTACACAATTATAACGTACACTGTAAAAACATCCAAGTGCCTGCTTTGTCTGATATTTTCAACGCATTTAACTCCTCTCCACACTTATATATAGCACTTACACAGAAAGATTGCGTACGATACTGTACCGGTAGTTGGCACATTTGGTTTTTCAGTCCACAGTTCACTTGGGTCTCAGAACACAAGAAGTCCGCTGGAAAATTTTGTACATTAATACATGAAGTACATGTATTTTAGTCCGATTATTAAGTATATAGATGATGAAAAGGCAATCAGAAAATTGCCAAATTCCTGACTATTTGATCATTCTTCCCTTGAATCAAAGTACAGGGTCCTATATGTCACATAAATAGTATGGAAGATTTAGACTGCTATAGTCGGATAGCATAGCCGACTACATTATACCTACATGACGCACCCCAGTGTAACGTACGTGACAGAGGCTCTCATGAAAGACTGGGGTAAAACAAGCAGTGGCGTCCATTACTAGCAATGCTTGTTCAATTACTTGTGATAACCATTTTCTTGCTTTTCACAAAGGTACTGAGCGTCAATCAATAGCCGTCAGGGGGATTTTCTAAAGCTGATGCTGATTTTATCAGCGATAAATCAAAACCTCTCCAACTTTGCAACCAACCACTTTTCAACCACCTTTTCAACCAGCCCAGAGCCGAAGAAGTTACCCTGTTAATTTACCAATTAAACTCATCTTCCAGGCCCCACCCCCAATCTTAATTATCACAAGGGGTCGAGAATGTTCCTTAAATATGTCCACCGTAAAAATTTCCCTCGTGAGTTTAATACTAAATTATATTTCCTGGAGCAAACGGTATTTTTCTTCTACCAACCAACCTTTCCCTCTCCTTTCCTGAGATGATAATAATTATTATTATAATGATAATAATAACGTAAAATTAACAACTTCATAATGATCAAAAATATTTCTTGTCCTTAGATAAGTTCAGCAGGAATTGGTAGATGTACTGTTATGTAAACAAAGGAAAAATATGTTAATGACCATATGTTTTTATACTTTAAGAATCAAATTGTGTAATTATCATCATCATAATTGAATTTTCACTTGTGTTTCAGCCCGCACTGCCATGCGCTTGCCGATGATTCTATATATTCCGAAACAAAGTTCGACCAAAATGATAGCCTGAGAGTAAAACAAACCGCAAGCTTGAACGGCAGGGTTGGACAAGACCTTGAAAATGGCGAGACCGACAAAGATTCGGAGAATGACCAACTGATTAAAGATCTAGAGAGTGACCCAAGCTACAGCGAAACGAAGTCCGGTTTGATTTTTGATAAGGCAAGTGGGGAAGCTCATCCGAGAAAAATTGCAGTTAACGCCATCAAGAAAAGAAGACAAAAACGCCATAGACAGAAAACAAAGAAATCAAAGACATAAAAGAAACGTGACAGCAAGGACCGCATTCTTAACGCAATGTTGGGAACAGTGACATTCAACGTAGGGCTTCACCCTACTCTTATTCCCGAGTAAGTGCCTGAAGCAGGGGCGGATTTAAGCCGTCTTCTGGGTCTTCCGGAAGACGGTCAGATTTTTAAGTTTACATTTACGGGTATCTAATATTTTCTGTCGGAAGACGGTCAAAAATTGAGGACGAATTAACAAAGATTATTTGGAAGACTGTCAGAAATTATCTCTGGATCCGCCCCTGTGAAGTAATAAGTAGACAAATATCACCAAAAAAGAAAGTGTCTAGAACTCTTTATTGAGAGAAATAAGGCACTACTGCACAAGCGGATCGGAAATTGAAAAGAATTTTTCATTAATGAATTTTGTGTTTGTACGACTCTAGATTTTCTATGTATTCCTTTACAAGTATTCGGGAAAAAAATTGAAACGGTGAAACTCCTTATCAATGTAAGAAATTGTCCTCTTTACATTTGAGTGATGATATGGTTACTATTTTTTTCAAAGACAATGGGTGGGAGTAATTGTCCATTTATTTATTTATTTATTTATTTATTTATTTACTTCCTTTTTTGATTATGTATTTTTTTTTCGGAAACACATGAAGCTGCCTCTCATTTGGGACCGATATAAGCTGTCATCCTTTAATATGGTCGTCAAAGTAGTGATTTCAAGCAATAAATAGCTTACACTTAACTGTGCGTATTATTTTTACTTATAATAAAATATATGTTTTGTTTTTTTTAACTTTCCAGATACGAAACGCGTAAAGCAAAGTTTATTGAAATAATAGAAAATGGTTCTCTTCCGGGAGATGTCGTCTGCTTGCAAGAGGTTTGGGAAGCAGACGATCTTAGAGAAATAATCTCCAAGACACAGACAGATTTTCCATTTTCAGTCAGCGCCCTGCATCAGACTATAGACGGCGACACTGTCTTCCCCACTGCTAATCCTTTAGTACCTGCTTGTACCCTTGCTGAGGTAAATACACTTCATTTGTTACAGTCGAGTATCATAACTCTCAAAGTTTTAACTTCATGTATATAACCTTACCTCGATTTATTTGAGCTCTGCTTCTGTTAACAGTAGAAAAATAATATGGCTTGCATATTTTGTCATCGTTATTTCCTCCCTGGGGTGGATACGGTGATGTACCTTTTAAGAAATGGGCTTCTAGAAAAGTTGAACTTGGTTTGCTCGATAACATAAAAACTGGTAACATAACTAAATTCAAAGTCATTTTTATGAATATCATCATTATCCTACTGATTTTGAATTCTGTTGTCGTTCAAAGGGCTATCACTGCATGAAAAATCAGCTTTTATATATCCTGAAAGATGATCAAAAGGCCTCCTTTTATTCACCTTCTCACACCTTTCCTAGACCTTTCGTTTTTTTAGGAAAAGACGATCTTTTGAATGACTTTTGTATAAGCGAAAAGGTATACAAATGGCCCACTTTTCTTTACATTTTCTCTACACAAAAGATTAACTTTCATAAACCTTTTGATGTAAAAAGACGATCTTTTGCTTGAAGAAAAGGTATTCTCAAGTTCATCATTCATCAGCTTTTTGCATGCTAAATGGCATATGAATGATCCACTTTTCTCTACCTTTTCCTGACAAAAAGTCCAACTTTCAGATGCCTTTTGTGCAACTTTCCAGATACAAAAGATAACCTTTTCAAACCTTTTTATTTAAGAAAAGACTGTATTTTTTCTTCTTTTGTTACGTATTTTAATGTAATATTTATTGCGGCAATTTAATAATATATTGATAAACAGAACAACACATGGTATAAATTTTAATAATTTATTCCATTATAACATTTTTGTGCAGGTTGTGCTTGTCTTTTGAAAGTTTTTGATAATCCAAGGAAATTTAATTTTCTTGTTTTGATAATCCAAGAAAGGCTCAGGAAATGTTCTCTAAATGTACTTTCAGCCAGATCCATTAGTCCTACTATATATGCGTAACTTCCCACTCTCGTGGGAGTAGTATTCCTGGAATCGTCTGTCAAGTGAACACTTTGCCTGCACAAATCTTTGCCTTTTGCCTCCTGAAAAATAGGATGCATGTAATGATAAATGTTGTTTTGGGTAACAGTTCATTTTAATGCTAATCAAATATGATAAAAACAAGGGCAACTTTTATGTCTAATAATGATGTTAGAAGTATTTTCAAATTATGGACTTAAAGCCATCAAACGGCTTAAAAAAGAGATTTTACCTCCTTACTTTTTTTCCATATTTTTTGTTTCAGCTCATCCAGTCCTTTTGCTTGTTTTAGAACATCCTCCTACTTTTCAGATCTGTAGTATCTTTTAATGGCACCTAGTAAAGAAATAAAAAGAGTGAACTATTTGAGTGTAATATCATGCAAAAAGTTTTCAATTAGGGAAATATGAATAATGACATAACTACAAGTAATGATGAAAATATGCATTCATGATTACTGCTAGGCAACTTGATTGAGCCTTGCACAGAACTTAGATAGGCTCCTGTATTACATACCCCATTCTTCTCTTCCAATTTTTTTTGCCTTAGCTCATCCACTTTGTTTGCTTTTATATGCTGTTCAGACAGCCTGTCTTTTAATAGCATCTGGAAAAGAAATAGTGATTTTAAGATAGTGAATTCTTTTAGTGTAATATCATACAAAAAGTTTTCATTTATGAAAATATGAATGCTGAAATAACTACATTGTCATACAATGATGAAGATATTCATGATTACTGCTCAGGGTCCATACAGCAACATAAAAGCAATTTAAATGACTTCTGGGGCTCTTAATCAATAACTTTTCAATAACTCAATGCGTCTTACTGTCATTTTTAAAGTTTACATAGAAAAGAGGAGCATCAATTTACACAAACTTTGTACTTAAATGATAATGAAACATGAGAAAAAAATTGACAGATTAAAAAGGGCATTCCCCCAGCATGTCTACATTCAGGTTAAAAACAAGGTTTGAAATAATCATTCGACAAATTCTAACTGATCAAATCCCAGAATATTTTAGGGAAAAATGATGAATACAAGCCCTTTCTAAGCTTAATAACAATTTCAAGTACTTTTTATGTCATAAACAGACTGAATACATGTACAAGGGGCAATACTAGATTCAAACACTCAAAGTGCTGTACCGGGGTATGAACCCTGCGAGTGAACCAGTGCATTGATTATATAACACTGCCTGGAATTTAGGTCAAGGAATGTAGGTCGACTATATGGGATTAATACAGGCCAGTTATATACATGTACAGAATCTTTACTTGTACGCGGGGCCGTACTTTGACGTAAACTTTTTGCAGTGTTCTAATACATAGGTCAGAGTGTTTGATTAACAACTGTTTCACGATCGTGATAACCTTTTTTCGGCGCGGTCTGTTCTCCGTGCATAAAACCCATCTTGGGCTTCCGTGACACGGTTGTATGTTCCCTTAAATATGATTGATTCACATGTTATATTAGACCTACCTGATGCATTTACTCATTCTCTTCATCCTCGTCAGTTAAATTATCGCCGCAACAATTGCCATCTTGCAAAGAAGTCGACCATAATCAATACGGTGGCTTGGAAATTATCTTCTGTGACCGGCCTGCACAGTCTTTCAGTCCGCGCATTTTCAACCGCCTGGCCTTGCGCATGCGCAGATAGTCTGTAATGGGATATCTTTCGCGCCGATTCTCTAGCATTGACCTATAGCGCAGTATTAATGACAGAAAAGCGCGCACGGCAACCTTTTACTTCGTGTTTTACTCAAGACTAAAAACAGCAAGACACAATAATATAGATCACTAGACACGGGGCAGCCGGTCATCGTTTTACAAGGTAGGTGATATAGTGATTTCAGTAATGTTCTCACAGTGTGTGTTAACACAAATTAGAGCCAAAGCATGCTTCTGTGATTAAAGCGGGAATCTTTCTCGAAGCACTGCATGTTGCAAGGTAATTAAGTCGTCTCTCGAGAAAGGATCGAGTTATACTGAGTTTCATAGGGCTTGGCTTTTGTCTGTTCTAACGTTTGACCTGTTACTCACTGTGAACTTTGGAAATATATGACATGTGCATGCACGTCCACGATACGGGGTAACAACAAGGGGTTGTCATTTTTAAAAGTGTTAGAATATTCCCATTTGTTGGATTACAAGGGGGTGCTTTAATGTGAAAGGGGATGGATTCGTCTTAGACCCCATTTCCAGAGATTAGATTGATATAATTTAGATCGACCTAACTCCCTGGGGGTTCACGCGAAATAGCTGTCAGCCGAGGGGACACGAAAGTTAATTACCCCCTTACAGCTTGTAGTAGGCTGGACGGACATTTAAGCCGGATTATCTGACAGTAATCTAGGGAGACCCCCCCCCCCCACCCCGGGGATAGATTGATCTAAAAACTCTTGGAATACAGCCTTATACAACCGAAAATGACACCATTTAAAACAGCACTCTCTATTGCAGTTGCTAATTATAGAAAAGAATTAAGGCTCTCAGAAAATATTGTCATGTGTTTTTGTTATGTCTCTATTATTCAATGTCTTTTCTTTTATAAAGGAATGGGGCGTCACAAGAAGAAAAAGGAGTGCCTGTCGTCACAAGAAAAGAGATGAACATCTAAAAGAAGGCTGCGTTCCCGTGCTCCTGTTATACATGAATTCCCAGTCTGCAGCTAGAATAAAAATTGTTAACCTACATGTATAACCTCATTGTGTTTACCTCAGACCCCCTGTCAAATTTATAGAATTAAACATGCTGAAATGGTAAAGGGAAGACTGGCTCGCTATGAGCAAGAGAATAAGTAAAAAGTTATGTATGGTTGATAATTTTCCTTTGATATTAAGATTAACTACAGCAGTGTAAGCAAGATGAATTAAGGATATGCAAACAGTAACAGTGTGTCAGTAATATAACCAGTTCCAATATAAACAAATTCAAATTGCAAAGCTGATTACTACCTATCTAACTTCGGTTAAATATTTCCATCATGCCCAGGGCCTTACTATTAGGGATTATGTAAAAGGTAAAACTTGCTCTCTGGAGTCTAAAACACATCATAACAATTTTAAGTGGTTTTCTCATTAGAAACGATCCCCTGGTCAGGCAAACTATGGAGAGGCGACTTCTGACATTTATTGTAATTTTTTTTTTTGACTTGATACAATTAGTGCAAATACTGACATAACTTAAAATAACAAAGTTAGTGATGAGAGATCCTATTGCCTTTTTTGTTGAGGAGAGGTGGTTTTCTGTTTAGAGACAATCCTCTAGCCAGGCAAATTATGGAGAGGTGACCTCAAACACTATTTTGACTTGGTACAATCAATGCTAAAATCCTGACATAACTTAAAATAACAAAGTTAGTGACGAGAGATCCTATTGCCTTTTTTGACGAGGAGAGGTGGTTTTCTGTTTAGAGACAATCCTCTAGCCAGGCAAATTATGGAGAGGTGACCTCAAACACTATTTTGACTTGGTACAATCAATGCTAAAATCCTGACATTACTGAAAATAACAAAGTTAGGTGATGAGAGATCCTATTGCCTTTTTTGTCAAGGAGAGGTGGTTTTCTGTTTAGAGACAATCCTCTAGCCAGGCAAATTATGGAGAGGTGACCTCAAACACTATTTTGACTTGCTACAATTAGTGCTATAATCCTGACATAATAAGCTAATATCCAGAGGCATGGAGATCATTTCCTGTGAAAGTAATTATCTAGGCTAATATGGAGATGTGACCTCTGACATATAACTTTTTTATTTGCTGTATTTAAATCCTGACAATATTGGAATAAAAATATAAGTTACTTTTGATTCCTAAAGTTGTTTGTCGTTTAAAGCGTCAAAATTATGTCTACCCCAAGTGAAATTCGGTGAACACTTCTTCCACTGCACTGAGTGCTATATATTTATACATAAACTCCAGCCAATGCAAGATTGCATAATTATTTCTCCGACATGCAAATCACCACATTCAATCTATCTGTTAAATACTTTAATCAAATTGCAAAACATTTTATCATGCAAACAATTTGCAAAAGTATTCGCTTTTTTCATACTGTGCTTAATGTAAGATACGGAATTAAGTCATGTACATAGAATAACTAGTATACATACAAAAGATCACCACGCAATATTATGAAATTAGTCTTAAGCTTTCAAAAAATAAAAACATTCACAACATGTGACCTTTCCAGTCAACAAAAGCTGGAATGTAAGGTGGCCTTTCGCACTGTAAAAGGTGATAGTTGAACTTTTGAAAACTGAAAGTTAATTAAAATGTGAATGACGGTCTTTCCGAGAGGTAAAAGTTGATAAAAAGATGACCTTTTACAAATAAAAGGTGAAAGATGACCTTTTCGTCAGGAAAGGATGATGAAAGATGAGGGATCATCTTTCGATAACATTTTGTAGATAACTGAAAGGCGATAAAAGGTGTTTTTTCATGCAGTGTATGGTGCTGATACCTATTAAGCGTTTGTATATATATATATATATATATATATATATATATTAAAACATAAATTCAATACGGAATAAATCGTTCCATGGTGAATACCGTGCGCTTGCAATACGTTAACGTTTTCTGTCAAAAGATTTTTATTTGTTGTCATTTCCTTGTGTGGGAAAGCATAACATTTGGTTCCACCTTTAATTACAGGTGAATGCAGTATCCCAGTGTTTTTTTAACAATTGTGTCGCGAACAATGCGCCAGACAGGTTTTTGTGTTTCGTTGGGAACTGCACAGCAGAGTACCAGGCGCTCTCCCAGGTCTGTTTAGCTTGCCTTTTGGCACGGCAAACTCAAAATGTGAAAGAATTGCTGAATGCTTTCAGTCGAACTGAGCTTTGTGCTACAACCCCTTACGAGATGACCTATGGCCTAGTGATACTCAGCAAACGACCGATAGATGACACTAGTTTCGTAGACTACCACGATGGATATTCAGTGAGTGTGCCGCGCGGGTATCTTCGTGCCAAGGTACGTATATTCAATCCTCAGAAATCATTTATGCATGGAAGTGTAAATGATTTAAATAAAATCAAGCCTGGCTGTAGCCACGCTCGACTGTCACCTTGTTTGATTAATCAGCCTACTGAAAGGACCTACAAAACCTCATGAAATGAAAAATCCTAGCAAAATCAATTAGGCATTTTTATCTTAAACTGACATGATATAAACAAAATTTATTTTGGTTAATTTGTTAAAAATTAAAATGGTACACCGCTGAGGTTTCAATATCAGAGAATTATTCTTGTCAAATTGGTATTCAAACTAATTATATGCATACCGTCTAGAGTGTTCTGAAAGGTATCAATCAATATGAATATAAGTATTAAAATTTCAGTGTTCAATTCCAGTTGCATCGTTCACAATTTCCGCTCCTAAACCATATTCTTACCGAATTTTATGAAAAGTTTCTAAAGCCAAATTTTGTCTGGCACTAAATATATTCCTCTAGAAAAAAAAAGGTGTTACCCCTGCCGCACTGATGTACATTGCTACTGGGGAAAGATACCCATAGGTATAATTTTACTAGTGCATAACAACTAGGAAACCGATTATCGTGCAGCCCACATAATTAGTGGTATGGGGTGTATCGGCTTCTTAGGTGTACTTGTGCTTGTATTGGTCAACGGGAAGCGTAACGCAGAACATTACATCCAAGTTCTGGAAAGAAACTTAATAAGGAATTCTGTCAAGAATATCTTTTCTTTCAGCATGACTATGCTACCCCACTTACAGTCAATGTAACAGTATAGGCTGGTTATATGCAAATTCAGATTCAGCCCCCCCCCCTCCCCCCTCCCATGGCCAGCTCAATCCCTAGATCAGAACCTCAAAAGAAATGTGTGGGATATCCTCAGAAATAGATAGCTGAAGGATAACCTTGCAAACAAAACTGATCACATTCTTTGAGGAACGCCAACACTCTACAAACGTTAAAAACTTTTTAGCAAAAAGCACAGTTCGCGTCAGGTGCATTTTCCAATCCAGAGGATACTGTACAATATACTATATCGTGGAATTTATTTACTATCATAAGCTTATTAATTTCTTGCACAATCAGTAAAAAAAATTGTAAAACAATCCCTTCAGAATCTGATAAAAAACAATGGATTATGACATTACCTTCTGTATCACTTTACGCACTACATTATGGGTGACACTTTTTTTTTTTTTTTTTTTTTTTTTGCTAGGGGAGTACGTCTATAGGTCAATTGTCAATACACTTAAGTATTTAAACAAACATTTTTTTCCTACAGGTTGGTGGTGTCCACGTGTTCTGTACTCACACAACCCCTGTTCTGACGGATATTTACTTAGATGGTAAGTAGGATAACAAGTGTTTAAGAGGGGCATTTACTTAAGGGAGTTGGACCCACGTAATGGGCTTAGCGTCTGCTTCCCCCCTTCTTTGCTCAACATTTTGTTATAAAAGGGCATTCTTTCACAAAATTACGAAAAAAATACTTGTCATATGGCTTGGCTGCTATGTATTCGTTTTGATGTCAATTTTAAAGAAAGGGAAATGAAAGGTCTGTGCAACAGCGAGTCCGGTATTCACTCATTTCAAACAAGTCAGTGTCGATGTGACTCAAGTGGATCAAAATATAGGACGGGGTAGGGGGGGGGTGGCTCTACAAATTATTGCATCAACGTGACCTTGAGTAGTGCCTCGAATTGCCTTATGTGTGAGTAGTCCGCTTAACACTGATAACCGGTATAAACCTAATGTATTTCCTTGTCTACTAAGTAATTTAATCTCTGTTCATATTGTAACTGTTATACATCATCTTTTGATAAATGGTGTCCATGGTTTATCTTTATATAATTTGTCTATAAATGAGCAATAGTGTGTTCTTTAAATCAATTTCCAGGCCGTTTCGGTAGTTACGAGGAACAAAGTTTATATGAACTTGGAACGCTCCTGAACGCTGCAAATCCCGTTCTCGAGAAATCACTTTTGCTGGGCGATTTCAACACTTCACCGAGTATCCCGGATGCAAACATTACGTCACAGCTTCCCGTGGCCTATCAGCTCCTGACCCAGAACTACTTTTCCCCTTATCTGGAGGTAGTGACGTCATGCACATACTGCAATGATAACTGGCTGACTAACAATCGCTCTGACCGTATAATAGACCACGTGCTTCCACCCAAATCATGGAGGGACCAAATAATGGAGAAGGTAAAGGGAGATATTAGTCGTACACGCGTGATTTAAGGTTACGGGTGTGTGTGGGAGTGTGTGTGGGGGGGGGGGGGGGGCAAGGGGGGCACCCGCAAGAAAACGCAGTAGTTACTCCAGCGCAGTAGACTACTGCAATCATACTGCAAACCGCAGCAGACTACTGCAATCATACTGCAAACATGCTTCAAATCTGCTTCGATTTGGGAGCTAATTAGCATATTTGAAACATGCTTCTATCATGCTGCTAATCTACTGCATTAATGCTCCTCTCTGTACAAACCTATGTACTTTTTGGAGTAGAATTGCAGTAGGCTGTGCTGCATTTCTACTGCAAATATGCTCCACACCACTACTGCGTTAATGCTTTTTTGCTACTTCGATACTTCGCATTTTCGTGCGGGCAGGAACGTGGCTAAAGATTGCATGGATTCGGTAGATCTTAGCTTTGTCATAATACCAGCTCTGTTTTCGAACTATGAATACTTCATTTAAAAGGAGTTGCGTTTAAGAAACAATTTTGTAAATTAAGTTATCTTTGGCAATTTTAATTTTCTTTAAAACACTTATACGTATTTAAAAATACGTATAAATGTTTTAAAGAATTTGATACACATTTCTATTTATGCAAAATATCATAGTGTTGTCTGCACATGTGCATTTGTACAAATTTAGTGGAGTTCTAGTATTTACGGTACGAAGATCAGGCTCAGGAAAGCTATTCAGCGTTATATCTCTTTTTGTAACTGTTATGTAATAAGTAAACGAAATGAAAAGCTGTTGAAGTGAGCTTTTTATTGATTTAATACTTGTTGGAATATCTTGGTCGGTTAAGAAGGGAGCCACTTACTTTCCACCCTATGTCCGCAACCTTAAAAGAAGACCACGTCAAGCACTGCAAACATTGGCTATAATAAAATACTAGTGTTGATTTTTACTAATTAAATTATATATATCTTAATTTTTGTAACCTTTTTGTGCTCTGAACTATGAAACATATTTCCTTTTTGAATTCCCTTTGGTACTTGACAAAAAGATTAACGGTTGTAAATTCAAAATGATTTATGTTTAGTGTATACGTATTATAATTTGCATGGTAAAGTTGTGCTGCTATATGAAACTTTTCAAATTGAGTCTGTACTCAGCTGCAGTTTGTACATAGATATGAGTAAAAAAAGATTTAGAAGGCTTTTTACACTAGTAAAATAATATCACACTTCTTAAACCTATTCCAGGCCACGCCAGTGAGAATATTTGATGGAGATGCCACTGTGTCGGACCATTACGGCGTAGCTTTGTTCAACCAAGAAAGAAAGGAAGACTAGATCAGCACTTCCAATATATCATACCATTTACTGACATTCCATTCCCCAACCTGCTCGATAAATCGACTGATGAATCAATCCGTGTTGGAAAATGTTCCTGTAATCTGCCTCAATTTACGCAAGCTTTTTGGCAGGCAGTCTTAGAAATGAAGTCATAGAAAGCAATACAAAAGTTAAAAGCAAAGCATGGTGGATTTTTATGATTGTGCAAGAGACTAACTTCGACAGTAGTTACGAGAAGATAACAAGAAAAATATCAGTGGATGGCTTTTGCAGTTTTCATTTTATGTCCTGACCAAATTTTCTCAAGAAAACCGCTTTCAGGGGCGGATTTAGGCCGTCTTCTGGGTCTTTCGGAAGACGGTCAGATTTTCAAGTTTACGCTGACGGGTATCTATATGTTTATGTCAGAAGACGGTCAAAAAATGGAGGATGGATCAACAAATATAGTATGGAAGACTGTCAGAAAATATCTCTGGATCCGCCCCTGGCTTTTGTACTGTACGTTGACAAGTGGGGTGAAAGAGTGAGTGTGTGTGTGTGTGTATGTGTGTGTATATGTATGTAGTACAGTGTATTTCAGTTAGTGCTTTTGTGTTATTCCTATTTCTGAGTCCAATTTTGTATTTGCACTTTGTTTGTTAATATATTCCTTTAGACAAAATAAAATGTATAAATCCTTGTGGCATGTGTTCGTTTACGCCCCAATTACGAAATCACGTGTACATGTGTCAGGCCCTCACTTGAAATGGCGTCACTGCGTTTAGCTCCTGGGAAGGGTTGACAAGTTTTATTGCTTGATTACCTAACTTACGTGAATGAGTTCTTAGGATAAGTAAACAACACAAAGTGTGAGGTGTAAGTTTGGGGGGTCTTCATTGACAAATGTCGAGTTGACTTATTGCAACAGGCACTCATCATAAGAAATTAACCTTTTCTCAATGGGAAATCTCTACTGGACCATAAGCAATTACGACCCATGTATTTTGGGTTGAGTGACTCCTAAATATATATTGGGATTTTATGAACAAATGAATAAAAGGGATATTAAAGTATAAAGCAATCGTCCTACCCCCGGGGAGGATCGAACAAACGACCTTCAGAAAATTCTACTGCTTTAAAGTTATGAGTCTGCCGAGCTGCCAATTACGAGAATAAACAAAGAGGTAAGAAAAATTGTAGAGAAAGCATAACCCTTTTCCCAGGCGACTTTCCAGCAGTGTAATACGAGTAATACAATTTTCGGGAACAAAAGCGTTATGCAATATAATATGTTCGGTGTGTTTGGCCAAAGTCTAACAAAGAATGAAACTATTGGTCATAGGAATTTAGTACCAACTTTATAGTATTACTCTATTATTAAGTCAAACCTCTCTCAAAACCTACAATAATGATATTTTAAAGAAAGCAATATATATTTATTTCAGAAGTATATTATGGATGATTTACTGTGGTTGTTTGAGTTTGTATATATAATGATATAGGTACCATTATTTGCATAACCTGTGTAATATGCGTTTTTTTCTTTTTTTGAGAAACAGAAAGATTTTCGGGCAGCGATCGAACAGCCTGTGATCTACAGTATCTATATATATTTTCATCTTTAAAGAAAAGCTGCGGTGTAATATATAAATGTTGCTGTAACATAATGTGAAAAATATTTCTCCGGGCTTTACTTATGCAAATATACTATATACTTCCTGTATATGACATGTCTATCATAAATAATTACAGTATATACTACTAAAAGGTGTGGCCTCTGGCACATAAGATATGATTCAGTACGAATAGCTTAGAGTGACTTGGTTCTAATAAAGGACAATGCCCCTAGCTATTGTGTTCGTCGGAATGAATCATAAATCGGTGGCGAGCTATAAGAGCAGAGGCCGAAAAAAAATCTGTGAGTAGAACCAAGAAAGGCGTACCCTGCACACCTATTTCCTGTTCTGTATTATCTGAGTCTTCAACTGAAAAGAGGCGGACGAATTGAGGAGACAAATTCAGGAAAGAAATGAGGAATGCACCTTGCATTATAGCAATATTATGGGTGGTTCTTACATTTGGGAGGTAAGAAATAAAACTACTTTGAAGACATATTAGAGATGTTAAAACGTAGCGTATGAAGAAAATTTTAGCAGCCACTCACTTTCAGATATTGCATGCTCCGGTGTAAGACCAATTACTGTTCTCCATACTTTGGCCGCATTAGCTGTATTCATAACAGTGGACTAACCATTTCGCAGATCGAATATGGCCAATCCAATTGAGTGCTTGTTGCGTTATCCTCCTGCCTGGGGAAAGTATTCAGTGTCTACAAGGGGATAAGATGGCACGCTTTCTTGTTGGTTGCCATATTTGATCCGCTGACTAGTTAGTCCTTTGTTCTGAATACGTCCATTCAGAACAGATGATCCGCTGGCTAACTGGTGCGCGGATCAAATATGGCCGACCCCACTTGAAAACGATGCAACTAACCCCTAATAGTCTCCCCGCCTACCACACGCGTCAGGCCTGTAGGGGTCTATTGATTCAACGGATTTTATCTCGTTTTCGAGGTTTAAATTTTCGTGAAATAGCATAGGGACTGCGTTACAATAAATTGTGTAACAGGCTACTAGAGCGCCCTGTGGTCAGAGAGTAGGTCTAAAGATACCAGTTCGCTGTCCTTTGTAAAGCCATGTAGATTTCTGAAGATTCCGCATGTAATTATCTCCTCCAATTGTCCCGTTCACGTATTTACGTGTCGATATTAATTGGAAAGAATTCATCCCTTCAGCCGATTGACACAACCGAAGATGTTACCTTGTTGATTAACCAATCGCATTCCTCTCTAAGAATCCACTACCGATCTTCAATACCATTAAATATGTGAAATCTTCTTTAAAGATGACCATCGTTAGGTTTTACCTCGAAAGACATACTGATTGGTATTTCTTAGGACAAACGGCATTTTCTCCAACCAACCAACGTTTGCTCCTCCTATTTTGTCACTCACCATATCTGTAACTCTGTAACAATTTGAGGAGTTTTAAAAGTCCTTAACATTCGTTTGAGGACAGGTTTTCAAATCCTGCTATCCTTTTTAGCATTGACTCTGTCAAGATTGTTGACAGATGGCGAAGAATCAAGAGGTGATTAATCACCTTAATTTTGGCAACATTAATTCACAACATTTAGCATTCAATAACGTACTTTGAGTCCTTAAATGAGTTCACCAAGAAGTGATAGATGAATCTTTGCGTGAAAAAAATGAAAAAGGTATTTAAAACCGCATGATTCTGTCTGTTTAGAAGCAAGTCGTTTGATTTATGTATCATCTTTTCACTTGTATTTTAGTCCACACCGCCAAGCGCATGCCAATCACGCTATTTATCCCAAAACTTACTCCGACAGTGTTGATGGCCTGATAATAAAACAATTCGCAGGTTTGAACGGCCGGGTTGGTCAAGAGGTTGGGAATGGCAGGACTCTCAAAGATACGGAGAACTTCCAACTTATTAGAGAACTAGAAAGTGACCCAAGCTACAGCGAAATGAAGCCCAGTTTGATGTATGATCAGTCAAGTGGAAAAGGTCATCTAAGCAAAGGCAGAAAAAGTGCAGCTAACGCTATGGAGAAGAGAATACAAAAACGTCATATAAAGAAATCAAAGAAAACAAAGAAATCAAAGAAACGTGGAAGCAAGGATCGCATTGTGAACGCAATGCTGGGAACAGTGACATTCAACGTAGGTCTCCATCCTACTGTTGTGCCTGAGTAAGTGCCTTAAACAACTAGAAAAGCATTCCGAGTGCGCAGACCTCCGCCAAGGCAGCAATTTTTGATTATTATTGATTATTGATTGATTATTGATCCGGATCACCACCACCACCATCTGCTCCTTGGCCCTTGGCCCAGTTCCTGAAAATTTCATCAAAATCGGTCCATCGCTTTTTGAGTTATGTTGATGACAGACAAACAAACAAACAAGGGTGAAAATATAACCTCCTTGGCGGAGGTAAAAAGGGAGTTTTTGTAACCGAAGTGATCATTATTGAACGGCATTAGGTATTCTGATGCCACAAAAGAATTACACAATGAAAACATATTTTTTTAGTTTAGAAATTTCGCTCGACTTTTTTTTTATTTTCTGTGTATCCTTTACACAATATTCGATAATAATACACTAATATTAAAAGTCAAACGGCTAATCAGTCACGAAACCCCTTTGATATCTATGTAGAAAATAACCCTCTTTGCCTTCGAATAATCGCATTGTCATTGCCTTATTTATTTATTTCAAATAAATATATTTTTTTATTATTTATCAATCTATTTATTTTCCTTTTCAATTATGGATGATGGATTTTTAGAAACCTACATAAATCTGTAAGCATTTGGCACCGATACTCGTGTAGGAGCAGATGTTCCTTATCTTCTGCAAACTTAACCGAGAATTTCTGTATATATCTTTTTTTTTTTTTTTGGATTAAATACATTTATTGTACATTGCTTTCCAGATACGAAACGCGAAGAGCAAAGTTTATTGAAATAATAGAAAATGGTTCTCTTCCGGGAGATGTCGTCTGCTTGCAAGAGGTTTGGGAAGCAGATGATCTTAGAGAAATTATCTCCAAGACGCGGACAGATTTTCCATTTTCCGTCAGCGCCCTGCATCAGACTATAGATGGCGACACTGTCTTCCCTACTGCTAATCCTTCAATACCTGCTTGTACCCTTGCTGAGGTGAATATGATTAATCTGTTACAGCCTTACATCATACTTACATACCTACAAATCATACTTACAAAGTTAAATATGAAAAATAATTTACCTTTTAACTGAAGTGCCATCTCATTCTCTCTCTCCCTCTCTCTCTCTCTCTCTCTCTCTCTAACACACACACACAAACGAAGTCCCACGCTGTGACTTCATACTGATTCAATTTAGTTCAATGCCTGCAGATGAGCCTCTATACTGTACTAGAAGGTTTGTCGTCGACGTGATTTCCAATTCGGAGGCATTATATTTTTGTCGGCAAGACAGTAACCATTCATAGGACCTGGTGTACGAATAGCAACACCGTATCATTTGCATGTCATTGTAGTGGGGAAATCCATAAATAATGCGAAACAATTGATATAGTGCTGTAGTAAATTGTTTACATGCCCCGGGTATTTACCGTGCTCCAAATCTACCTGTATAAGCTACGGTACTATGGCTGGCATTTCCTTTGGCTTTGATTCCGACAGGATGTGAACGTATGTGTTCCCTGACTTAGGTCGACGTAGCCTTTAATAGAGGAACCCCTAAATAATATGTTGATGGTAATTTATCAGGTAACATAACTGTATTCAAAGTAATTTTTCTGAGTACCGTCATCCTACGGATATCTTTTGTCATCTACATTTAGTCCCACATGAAATTGCAGGTGAATGCGGTATCCCAGTGTTTTTTTAACAACTGCCTGGCGAACAATGCGACAGACTTGTTCCTGTGTTTCGTTGGGAACTGCGTACCAGAGTACCAGGCGCTCTCCCAAGTCTGTTTAGCTTGTCTTCTGGCACGGCAGAGCCGCAATCCCAAAGAATTGCTTGCTTCTTTCAATAGAACTGAGTTTTGTGCTACAACCCCGTACGAAGTAACCTACGGCTTGGTGATACTTAGCAAACGACCGATAGAGGACGCCTCGTTCGTGGACTACCACGAGGGATATTCAGTGAGTGTGCCACGCGGGTATCTGCGTGCCAAGGTTAGTATATCTGGACCCCGTATTCGTTTATGCGTAAAAAATTATATACAGACTTGACATTTAATATGGAATATTTTTTCCAAATCATAATTCATCAGTTTTTTTCCTATTTTGCAGACTGATAAATGAAAATAAGGATCAAAATCGTGTTTTTATAACTTATGATAAACTGTTCCATGTCATTGTGACATCAGTTCTTTAATTGACTTCGCCAATGAAGCAAACAAAACTACATTGCCAATCTTAAGTCATACGACAACCATTGAAAGCGATATTTTGGATCTCCATATTTTCCAAATTATCGTCTTTAAAAGAGTTACACGACCCACAAAGAACCTTCATGTCAGCGTCTAGTCACAGTAACGGTCGCCGCTATGCCTGACCTTATCCTTCTGCTACCAGAGCTTTCAAGAGGCAAGGCATTTCTTGCGATAGTTTTTTAAGAATTTAATCTGGAATAAAAGTCCAGGCAACGGTTAAAGCTTGTCCAATTTGGTTCAATTTTGTTGTAGGACATGCTGGCCGTTGATTTGGCGACTATTGACCTAACCACATATTGTCAAAGTGAATCAAATATGGCGATTTTGATGACCAAGGTAGCTGCTCATTCCCTTGGTTCTGTAAGTTATCTGCTAATAAAAGTGCTCTGTGTGAACCAGCAATCTGATCGTGCAACCTAAAACTGTTCCTAAGGTGTCCCCTATCAAATGATAGTCAAGTGGTTCCCAGATTATTCCTTTATTTGATCTGGTTCAGGTTTTAGTCAATGACTTCCATTGGTGTTTTGGCACCAGTGTGGTATCAACTCCAAATACTGACGCTGTTAATGGCTCTAGTCACTTCAGAAGCGGCACACACCTTGTCGTAGACCTCTTGAAGATGTCTGTAAGCTCTTTTTTGACCAATTTAGCGGTACAGGCGAAATCTGACCTCAATAAAGAAAACAACGCGGTTTCAATGTTCTACCCAGAAACGGTCATGGTCCCCAATTCATTAGAGAAACAGACTACGCTGTTCTGCTGTTTACAGTGGCCTCCTCAGAGGTGGGCTGGTATCTTAATCTGCTTAAACCAGTTTGGTGTTCGCTAAGAGACTTGAAAAACGCGCTTTAGTGACAATTTGCCCCTCATTTAAAACGGACTGGGTGGTTTTTTTAATTGCAGCAGCATATCCTGAAGGAAATTGAGTCCTGTATTCTGGTGGTAAGATATCGATACATTGGACGTGGTGTCTGTGTGGGTACATGAGCCTGGGCATAAGTCTGTGAAATTGTGCGGACCGTTTCTTTTGGGGCAATAGTCTGTCTGGCAATGTCTTTCTTTTTCGCGCCATTCTGGCACATTTTAACAATTTTGAAAAACAATACTTAACTCATTTTACGCACTGCAAAACCGACCGCTTGCATGCAAAATTTCAATTTCTTCTATGCAATGGTTGCCGACATATGGATACTTTTTTGACAGAACCATCCCTCGCCAAAGCCAAGCTTTGACCAGCCCAAAGGAGCACTACCCAGTTAAATCAATGCATATTTAACAATGCAGCAGTGCATCAGACTTGGTAAGCAGTTAATTGGTAGAGACACACCTTTCTTCATACTTCCCCAGTCAGATATCTTATATGAGATCTGAGTGTTTTCAATAAAGAACGCATTTTTACCTAGGTATACCTTTAAAACTGAAATATTCCATATTAAATGTCAAGTCTGTATGTATGAAAAAATTCAGGTCTATATGTAAAAAAAGCACGCTCGACTGTGACTTTGTTTTATCAACCCAATAAATGGACCTACAAAACCACAAAAATGACACTATACTAGTCCACCAGAACACAATAATGCCCGATCTCTTAACCGATCGAATAGTGTAACGATGTTTTTGTCATTACATATTTAATTATTCAAAATTTAAATAATACACACAGTAGGTGTCAGTGTGAGCTAAAGGTTCTCGTCAAATTTGAAATAGATATCCAAACGTTTTATTTGCACACCGTATAGTGTTGTCAAGTTACCAATCAATAAGCATTAAATTTTTCAGTTTCAGTACTATCGATCACCGCTACCGCTCACGAACCATAATCATACCAAATTTTGTGACAATTTTCTAAAAGAGAACTTTACTTAATTCATGTAGGTCAATGGTCACAATTAAATACACTTTTATTTTTAACTAAACATTTGTTCTGCAGGTCAGTGATATCCATGTGTTCTGTACTCACACCACCCCTGTTTTGACTGATGTTTACATAGATGGTGAGTATAGGATCATCATAGGTTAAAGGGATAACAACTGTTCATTTTGGCTAAAAAATGAATTTTCTTGGGGTAAACAACAATTTTCCCATTCTTACCAATGGTTAATGAATCCAGTTCTACATTCAAATTTAGTCCATGGTTATTTTCTAGAAAGTTTGCTTTTTGTAATAATCTCGTAAGCTATAGCCATCTATGGAGGTCACATGATCGGATGACAATCACAAATTTTAGAATAATTGCTTTTTTGCCATTCTTGGTGGTGAAATAAAATATATTATATTTCCTTGAGTTGTCTACAATGTTTTTATAGTGAAATAAAGATTCCATACGAAGAGTTGTTATCCCTTTAAGTCGTGCATTTAGGAAAGGGAGCTGGACGAGGTTGGGGGGTGCATGGCAACTGCCCCCCCCCCCTCCTCTCCGCTGCCACCTTTGCTCAACGTGTTGTTATAAGAAGACCATTCTTGCACAGACTTCATCATAAAAAAGGAAACTCTTGATGTGGCTAGGAACTGTATACCCACTAAAAATAGACTATTTAATATTACTATCCCCATTTATACTTTTTGGAATGTCAATTTGAAAGAAAAAGTAAATGCAGGGATCGTGTAACAGCTAAAGAGACAATTGAATTCTTTAGTCTTTTCACACAAGTCAGCGACAGCACATGACGTGCGCTAAGTAAGTGGGTCAAAATCTAGGACGGGGTAAGGTCTAGAAATCAGTGGAAACTGGACCTGTATCGAATTACCTTGTTTGTATGCTCAGTATGCCTTGTTTACTAGTACATCTGAACAGACTATGTTTCCTTCACTTCCTAAGTATTTAACTCTCTTTTCATATTGTACTTGGCATCCTCCATCTGGGGTTTAAATATTCATAAGTTGTACTAGTTAGTCAATGAATGAGCAATAATACATTATTTTAAATCCATTTTCCAGGCCGTTTCAGCAGTTACGCTGAGCAGAGTTTATACGAACTCGGAACGCTCCTGAACGCCGCAAATCCTGACCTCGAGAGATCTCTTCTTCTTGGAGACTTTAATACTTCTCCGAGTATCCCGGATGCAAACATTACGTCACAGCTACCCCTGTCCTATGATCTCTTGGTCCAGAATTACTTTTCCCCTTATTTGGAAACCGTTACGTTATGCACGTTCTGCTATGACAACTGGCTGACGTATAATTTGTCTAATGTTATTATAGATCACGTGCTTGTACCCAAATCCTGGAGGGACCTAATAATGGCGAAGGTAAATAGAGAGGTTAGCATCTTACACGTGTGATTTAAAAGGAGACAGCAGCAAGCACTGCGAACATTGGTCAGAATTAAACACCAGTTATATATCTTTATTTTTGTATGATTTTATTTATTTATTTATTTATTTATTTATTTCGCACCCGACTTTGAACAATTCTTCCATTTTGGTTTCTATTTGGTACTTGATACAATAATTTGCAATTGTTAATGAGGATTGATTTATGTTCGGGCATGAACAAAATTGTGAGTTTGTGCAAAGTTAAAATTCGATCTGAAACCTGAAAAAAATGGCTCGTCACATATTTAATGCTCATTTGCAGTCCCCTGAAGCAGAGACACCAAAGTAGATACGAATCGTAAGAAAGTACTTTGTATTGCTAAAATAATCACACTACTTAACCCATTCCAGGCCACGCCACTGAGAATATTTGATGGAGATGACACTGTGTCGGACCATTACGGCGTAGCTTTGTTCAGCCAAGAAAATCAAGAGGAATAAATGAGAGCTCTCTCGACATATCATTACATTTACTGGACATTGCATCGCCAGCCTGCTCGGTAAAACGACTGATGAATCAAGCCAGGGAGTGTGCAATCCTTCTTTATATATGCAGTCTGAATAGGCACACGGCCGATGGCAGCTTTCCCCAAATACGCCAGGACATGCCGCTTTTGCTTAATAAAGAAAACCCTTATGTAACATTACCAGTTTTTATGCTGAATTGTTCAGCAAGGGTGTAGCTACATACATTTACGCAAGTTCTTTGATCGGGGAGAAACTTTGAACAGACTTTGACATGCCAGATCTAAACTTGTAAAACAAAATTCATAGAGTCATGTCTATAGCAGAGGGATCAAGGGGCATCTATTAAAATTTGGTATTTCAAAAGCACAGCTAACTCTACTTATTACTGTTTTCAAAATTGTCCTCAGGCAGTGATTTACGTCAATTGTTTTCCTCCATGGCAGTACTTCTATACCAGACGGTGACAGAAAATGTCAATACATCGCAAATTAATTACCACCTGGCAAAACAATACGAACAGGGTTGACAAATAAGCACCTCACACGCTGCAGAAATACGTCCCCCGCTGAACTTTAAAAACATGTTTTCTAGATTGCATTGCATTTTTCAAGGTCATTTGACACACGCATGTATTCACTCAGTAAAAGTAAATATTTGACCATTGTTTTTGTCGCGCGGGAATTGGTTTCTGATGACCCTCTCTCCCAATATCTACATTTTGTCTATTTAACATTGATCTCAATTTCCTTTTTTTAAATCTTTTTTTAACGCGTTATACAGAGCGAACACAGTAGCTAAATGGGTCAACGTTTTGGCCATCGCATGGGAACCACTATTAATGTCAGCCACGGGTAATTTGTGCTTCACCCAAGCGGCTGTACATCATATGTACCCATTTCAACCTAGCACGACCTCAGATACTACTTTGGTTGAAAAAACTTGAAATGCCCTGTCCACATTCACCACCGTTGTAGCCCCAAAACTCTGAGACTAATTTTTAAGTAGTGGACTCTTTGCTATCACCCGTGGAGATAAAAGCGCTTCTTTCATGAGAACGGTTGTGAATGCGGACTGTACTTGGGTCATGCAGTGCACTTTTTAAGGCATTTATTATGCTGTGCTCATATATATATATATATATATATATATAGCCGGTCAGACCCGAAACTCTGTAGAGATCATACTGCGCACTGGCAGTGCAGGACAAAAGAACTGGTAAGTGACTGATATTTACCGTTTCGATATGTATATATTGCTTTATTTCAAGGTTGGAACCAATATCTTAACAAGAAATTCCGTAACAAAAGGTGTTTCATCCTTATGCGTATTTGTCTCGTGTAATTGAATATGCGATTGTGGATAAATAGATATAAAGAGAAAAATATTAGAAATGTTAATAGCGATAACAGAATCTGAGCAAGGTGATTACTTATTTTGAAGGTTTTCCCGTTTTCATATTTTGATCTGTCCTCAAGAGTAACATGGAACCGATCTTAAAAATGTTCATCATTATATGCACATGTATGAGTTTTAGACAAAATAATTTATTTTAATTATGAAGATGGAACTGCAGTTAAAATGCTTCTGATATCATCACAATATAATTAGTACATTCCTAAATATTTGTGATCTCGTCTGCCTTTTACATATTAATCTACAGTACCAAATGTGAACATTTTGACTATGAAAATCAAACAATGCATCCTTTACAAGGCGCCATCATTATGGATTAAATAGATGGTGTGAGCTTCGGTGAGCTTAAAACTCCAACTGGCTGAATCAATAAAAATATCCACCTTCATTTTACATTGTTCAATATGCGTAATGAGGTATTTTGAAACGATTACCTTTTTTCATTCTTTGCAGTGTATATTCGAACAGAAGCAATAAGTGGGGCGCAATATGAAGACCTTTTTGATACTATTGGTGGTCTTTGTGACCATTACACTCGTTAATGTGGAAAGTACAAGTGTCGAGACCAACAGGTGTGTATTTGTGACATTTATTTGTAATTAAGGATGGTTTTAACATTGTTAAGTGCTCCCGAAAGAACGGATGTCTCAACATGTCTATTAGAATATTTTCCAAAACCGTAAGACTTTTAAAATCTTTGTGAAGACGAATGCATAGTTTTGCTGACAAAATACATTTATGTGTAACAGTACATGCAAGTAACAGTGTTAGAAAGTGGCATTCATCTTTTTTTTTCTTTTGATAATGTGACCCAATGACATTGTCCGTTCTGATACCATAAAAACAATGGAAATATGAGATAATGTGAATATATAAAACCTATAACAAAACGGTCGGCATGTCTGTGAATGGTGAATTTGTACTGATGTGAAGTAGTCTGTAATTCGACAGAACTTCATAAGTACATGTTACAACCAGAACAAATGAACGTGGATGCATTCTTTATTCGTTACCACATTTGCCAGTCTGCCATTATTGCTTGTCCACTCTCCTCATTAATCCCACGAAATCTCGTTGACTGTGTGTTATCTTGGGTGATTTAAAGTATCATTTTTGTCACATTTAGGTTGGCAGTGAAGCCCTTGAATTCAAATTCTAACTTTGAGATATTCCTGAGAAGCCGTCGCAGACGAGCATGCCCTTGCAACGGACAGTGTGGGACCTGTTACTGCTGCCTCTCGTGACAGGTGAAGACGAGGGAACGAAACATCTAACCTGTGCCGTCACATGTGCACGTCAAGTGAATGTTATTGTAGGCAATCGATCTTCTGAGGTGCAAAAACTTTCTATGTTGAACTTAAACTATCAAAATATTAATTTTCAATATTCTCAGAATATTTTTGTGCGAAAAAATAAACCATATTGAATTGAATAAAACAACCAAATTAAATGTCTGTTTCTTTTTTATTCTGTTTGAACATGTCACATGACATGGGCAAGTTTCAAGAAGCTGTCGTTAGTTATAACAAGTAACGACAGAACTACCTGGCTAGCGAGAAGACTTAATATATTTATAAATTTAAAATTATATGAGTTTTATTGGCCCATAACAGGACCGGGTTGAGTTGAGAAACCTTTGTTAACATTTTTTCTAACCTAAGTCGTTCGTTCACTGGACTTTAATAAGGTTGACAAAGAGTCAGCTAACACGCTGCAGACATAACGACTCCAGCTGAATCCTGACAAACGTTTGTATTACTGATTTACATATAAGGTCATTCAAAACACGCATACATGCACTTTTAGTATTAAGTTAATTTTTCTTTAATTGGTTCTTTGATTGCAATAAGAAACACTTCAAATTTCAAGAATTAGGTTTTGCGTTTATCATAATAAGGCGATTCTGAATGCGGTCTGCTCTAAGCTCAGGCAATGTCTTTTTTAAAGGCACTTATTATGTTGAGTTCATAACCAGTCAGACCCGAGACTTTTTAGAGATTTCACTGCACATTGGCCGTGCAGGGCAAAATAAATGGATAGTTTCGCTGACAAAAATATGTTTAATAGTACATGTAAGTGACAGTGCATCAAAGTGACATTTAACTATTTTCGTCCATTATGATAGCCTAATGAAAAAACGTTATACAAGTAGGCCCTGTTTCATCAAGGCTGGATAGGCTATCCTATGGATAACACTATCCAAGGTATAAATTTCTTATCCTCTGTATAGTTATCCTCTGTATAAATTCGTGTTTCACAAAGGCTGGATAAACAGCATGATAGTAATCCAGTGGATAAAAGATTATCCAATACCATATTTAGAAAAAGACATTCCCATAATGCAGTTGGTTGCTATATACATTATAAAAGCCATGATAGTTGCTAACAAAAAAAGTGATTTATAGCATATTTGGAAAATAAATTACCCATGATTAACAATATTCTAAGTATATTTCAAGATGGTACATTCATTAAAATAATGGGACTAATATATACAGCATATTTTAGTGTCAGTGTCAAAAACACATCACATTGCATTAGTTGTGCCTCATGCTATGTTTACAATTTGAAGGGCGAGGGTTGAAGGGCAAGGTCGTGACATACTTTCTAACAAAATGGCTGACTTGGCAAGTTTGGCAGATTATGTCAATAGCAGTGTAGAGTTTTTTCGTCGATTTAAAAGGTATGTTTTAGTAAAATAAAAGATAATTGGTCTCTCATGGAGATTGCATGGGTTCTGTTCGTAGCAGGCGCGCTGTCAACTTTGATCAAGTCTGTTATGTAATCTATTGTTTCAGCATCACTCAAAGAATTAAAAGCAAACACACACATCTTTTAAAATTCTCTTTCTAATTATTCTCCGCCTGTGAAATCTCACAGGATTTACTGCCAAACCAAGCAGGTTAGTCATTTTTGATGATTTAACAGCATGATAGCAGATTTATCCCGCCTATTTCGAGCGGACAACCTTACCCTCTGGATAAGCTGATTTATCCCCGGGATAACGCTATCCACTGTTGATGAAACGCACTATCCTCTGGATAGCTCTATCCAGAGGAGAGCGGCCATTTTTATCCATAGGATAGCGCTATCCAGCCTTGATGAAACCGGGCCGTAACCTATAACAAATCTGTAGGCAAGTCTTAGAATGGTGAATTCGTACCGTTGTGCAATATACTGTAGTCCGTAATTCGACAGAACTAAAGATGTAACAACCAGAAAAATGAACGTGGATAAATTCTGTATACTTTTATTCGTTACCACATTCGTTTGTCTACCATTATTTCTGGCCCCACTCTTCTCCAAAATCCCACGAATTTCTTGTTTGACTTTCCGCTAGGTCGCAAGACTTCGGATTATCTCGGGTGATTTAATGTTTTTTGGATCACAATAAGGTTGGCAGCAAAGCCGTTGGCAGTCGAGCATGCCCTTGCATCAGCCTATGTGGATCCTGTTTGTGCTGCATTTCGTGACAGGTCAAGACGAGGGAAGGAAACACTTAAATTGTGCTGTCACATGTGCAAGTCAAGTGAATTGTTATTTTATGCTATGAATCTGCTGAGGTGAAAACAGTTTCTATATTGCAAACTATCAACATATTAATTTTCAATATTAAAAGAATAGTTTTGTGCACAAAAATTAAACCTCGTGAATCGTATAAAACAATCAAATTTATTGTCTGTTTCTTTTCTGTTTGAACATGTCACAGGCCAGAGGTTTCAGGAAGCATTCGTTAGTTAGCGATCGGTCGTTATATAGCATCTCGTTAGTTATGAGTGCTGTTTCACGAAACTCTCTAATTATCTCGTTCTTTATTGTCCCGTTGTTGCCATGGATATTTAGCGAATGGGTCAGACCTTAATTTATCTTATCCAGTTACTAACTGGACAAGGCCAAATCCCAATTGGGGCCTGATCTAGGCCAGATCCATATTCGGTTTTTGCATTGTTAGCAGTTAAATGAGCATGTTTATGGGCTAAGTAATTATTTTTTGTCTTTTTGATTTGTCCAAGATGGCGGTATATGACGACGTGCATCATAATACCCCCGTGTCTATATGTCCCTAGGTGGGTGTCATACTCAATAGTATTTATAGCACTACTGATACGCAATTATGGCATTAGCTGGGTAAGTGCTGCCTGTGACATTTAAAATGCAATTCATTCACCTAGCTGTTGAGAAAAGCGTGACGGTCAAGTTATAAAAACCTTGTTAAAAACAGGCGTCTCATGGGTGACATGAATAGTATTTCAGTGAGCAGATAGACACTCCTTTTTGGGCCAAATAGTTATACACTTGTTTGGATTAAGTATTAGATACCGCTCAAACAAGATTGCATTAGCAACAAAACGCATGCCTTATGTATTTTTCTTGTTCAGCCTATGTGAGAAAACAAAAAGACAAAACACATGAACAAAAGGAAGAATAAGTCATCATTGATTTAGGACATTCAAAACTTTATTTAAAATTACCTTCATTCAAAACGTCGTCTGTTGCACAGGGAACGTACAGTGAGGGCACATAAATTGCTTATTGGACACCGCTCGTAGTTCTATAGGGAAAGTCTAGATTTGGACGTTCAAAGGAGGCACATGGATCGCCGGGGCATTTGCACAGAGGCACAATTTTCATGATTCGGCAACCACCGAGCGCTTAGATATATTTTTGGTCGTTGAAGGGACTCACTGTCTCTTTTAATCAATTCAGCCCGCCATGTTGTGACACTTGTAGAAAGTGAGGCCAGTTTCCGAGACCAGTTTCAAAAGTAAATTAAATAAGAGTCGCTAGTCGTTACATAACAGGAAAATCAATCCTATGGGTAGCATCATTTTAGTACGGGGTGTTTGATAATTTAGAATTTAAAAGAAATATGTAAAGCAACCTACAGGGCAAATTAAGTTGTTTTAACGTTGAAACAACGTTGAACCTTAACGTTGATAAGACATTGGATAAACGTTGGATTTGAAAGTTGGATCAACGTCAGATAACAATGTTGTATCAACGTCAGATAACAACATTGTATCAACCCCAGTTGTTAGACAACACTCTTGCATGCAAAGACAATAAAATGACCTGAAATGTTTTTTTTATTTTCGGTACAAAACACAGGTACACAATTATAACGTACACTGTAAAAACATCCAAGTGCCTGCTTTGTCTGATTTTTTTCAACGCATTTAGCTCCTTAGTATGTTTTGCACCTAAGCATGGTACACCCTTTTAGACTGGATGTGTTTAGCAGTAGGACGTGTTTGATGGCTAAATATATGTAGGGTATATATGTATGGCCTTTAAGTTAGGATTTCCAAGGTTTATATATATATATATATATATAAGAACACACACACACACACACACATAGCAAAGTCACAGTCACCTCAACCTGTCTATCTATAACAGGGTACCAAGAATTGTCAACTTTGTTAACTTCACTCCATCACTTTTACAGCGACTTATTCATCCTAGTGTTAGCTGACCTTGCAAGGAAGTTTATTGGAATGTATTTCTGAATAACATGTTAAGAAAATTCACTAGTTCACTAAAGAAAATTCACTAAAAAATTCAGTAGTTCACTAAAGCAACTTAGTGGGATGGCGTAGGGTCAGAAAATGGCAAAATAGTAACAAGAAGGATAAAATCACGGTCCATAAATATTCAAAATGGCTGCCAATTTATGGAAACACACCAGTTTTACGTTCATTTGTATGATATAATGTATGGCAACTGGCAGCCATGTTAGTTTTTCTCATAATAGTACTGAAGGATACATATACTTTCTACACACTATAAATCTAAAGCATAAGGGTAATAAGGATATGGCACATGACAGCGGCCGTCGTGGATTTTCTTAAAATTCCCAAGATTGCACGTAGTACTGTTACTCCCCACATACATATATTATTTAATTAGTCCTAGGATTTTTAATAAGTTCTAGGATACATGGTTGCTATCTGCTAGATATGTATTATATTGGTCGAAAGGGTATGGAAAACACAGAGTAAAATTTTATTCACTTTATTTGATAAAAAAATAATAAAGATATTTGTCCATAGAATTCCATAAAGTGGCAGCTATTTTGGATTCTTTGACAAAACGATGATTTTTTTCAGAGGACAACGCCCCTAATCTGATTAAGATGTCAAAAGGTACCCACATCCAAAATCGGTGCTTTTATCCGGCGTGTCTCGATTTTTTGCATTACGTTAACAATGAATCAACACCTTTTAGAGGAATGGATAAATATCTTTCGGAGAAGAAATGCAAGGACGAAACACTACTACCAGTATATTATTGATTTCAGAATGTCAACCTAAAATTAACCATTTATTCTGTGTGTTTCCTTTTAGATTGCTTCAGTGCAAAATGTAGCGTTAATTAAGTATCCCTTCAATGATAGGAAAGGAAGTACAAATTGGAAATGGTGCCTGGTAAAATACAAATGATATTTGTTAAATAAAACAGGTCCAGGATTCGATTATTACTTCAGTACTTTGTAACCTCGCCAGCGGAAATATATTTATGTGGTCATTTTGATAACGAAACGAGCACTTGATTGGCTTAATTACATGAAAATGGGTAAATTTATATTACATTAATCACGAATAAACACTTAATCTAAGATATGGACAAATATTGATCTCTTGAACAGGAAATGAAACAACAAAACACTACTTCCAATATATAATTGATTGCAGTATGTCAATCTATAATGATATTTTTTCTATATGTTTCCGTTTAGAGTATTTGTTTTAATGCAAAATACAACGTTTATCAAGCGTCCTTCCAATTATAGGAAACGAAGTACAAATAATGCTAGTAAAATGCAACTTTCATTTGAAAATTACGGTACTACATTGAATACATCTGTGAGGGTACTATCCGTGTCCACGGAGATCACATACATTGTACACCGTAATGTACACAAGTTGCCCTGATGACACGAAATGGCAGTACTGAAATTTTATGTTTCTGTGCATTTACAACACGTTTGGTCTAATAGTGATTTCCCAATTTCTCGTTTCTCTATCTGTTTGTTAAATTTCAATGAAATTGCCCAAACCGCTGCTTTATATTATTGTCTCTGTAACAGTCAGATTTTGATAAAGTAGCAGATGTGTGGCATATGTTGACTGATGTATTGATGAAGTACGCAATGTCATTTTCAAATTATTTGCTATACATGAATAACAACATTCTTGCAACAATCCGCAGTCTTTTACCAAGTTGATATTTGATCTCAAGTTGATATGGGACAACAATGCAGAGACTATATGTTACCGCATTCAACTTTATTCAAAGAGCACGCAATACACATAAAATTTCGAGAAAGATTCTAAAATTCGAGCTCATTCATCTCTTGTTTGAACAAAAGCTATAGCGGTTTCCATCTTGTATGCAATGGTGCAAGCACGAAGAAGCATGTCTTTCTACGCTAAGCAGCACTTGCACCACGAATGACAAGTAAGGCAACACGATCGACGGAATCGCTGCAGGAATTCTGAGATGCTAGTTATCTTCTGGTTTCCTGCCGACCTTCATGTAAAGAAAAACTAAATACTATGGAGGAAAATAGGTAAAACTAATACAAAAAATTCAAAGACAATCCTTACTTTTTTATTATTATTTCTGAGCTTGATTCATTTGAGAGATGAAAATGTTTGTCTGATGTACCTTTCAACATCGGATTCGATCATTCCACTTTCAGGGGTCACGGCGGCAATGGCAACGAAGACAAGCAAAAGTAATAAATACGCCTTCATTCTATGTTTCAGCTCTTGTTCACGTCAAAATATCCACTAAAAGATAAGGGAGACTTTGTGTCAGAAATTAAGATTCGAAAACCATTGTGTTAAAGATGCATACAAAGTCAATTTTTTGTCACAAAAACCAACCAAATGCCAGCATATAGTTTCAAGTAGTATAACTAAGAGAATAACCAAAAGGCATTGTTTAATTTTACCCCAAAATGATGTTTGAACAGATTTTTCTGCTGGCATTCTAAGCTGTTTGTCAATGGGAAAGGAAAGTAGGTCACGGGAGTAGGTTAAATTTACAACCATAAATTTAAAGAAAGGAGCAGTCTAAAGGTCTTTTATGGCTGATCGAGTGATCTATTCAGTTTATCCCTTGGCATGTCAAATTTATTTGAGTCATATAAGAATCTAGTAGAAGTGGTTTACATGTGTTACTGGGAATCCACGCTCCACCGATGCTCGGTTCGTATGTACCTTTAACATAGCAAAAGATACCAACGGATTTTAAATATATGTGTCTTTAAATGTGTTCGTCTTTCGATCACGGCAACTGGTTATTTTTAAATTCTGGATAAAAAACCAAGCATTAAGAGACAAAAATAGCATTTAAAGATGTCTTTGAAGTCACTCTTTGCTATAAAAGACTATAGTAGTGTAACTTAGAAAAATTCCAAAAGACCTCGTTTCATTTGTCACCCGAAAAATGACATTTAGGATAATTGCTGCTTGCTTTCTGTGCTGTATATAACCGGGACAGATGCGTAGGTCAATCTACGACCAGAAATTTGAAGAAAGTGGAGTTTTAAATCTTTTTATGGCTAATCGAGTGACGCATTCGGGTTATCCATTGGCATGTCAACTTTATTTGAGTCGTATAAGAAACTGTGCTCCAATATGTTACTGGAGAACCCATCTCGTTTTTATGTAACTTTTAGAGAATCCAGAGTTAAATTTAAGGGCCCTGTCCTTGTTTATTTCAGTCCGAAATATTACCAGTGACCCCAAATCAATAAAGTATCTCATCTTGTTCACTTAACCAGGTTTGTTTTTATAACATTCCAACTCTGCAAAAATTGTATTTGATTGCACTTCCATTATTGTTGTCATATATCCTTTATACTTTACTTTTACCCTGGATATCAAAAGTACTTGATATTAATCAGCCTCTGTGAATAAATTAATTGAGAGAGAAAGAGAGAAGGAGATAGATAGATAATACAAACGGTATACAACAAGTCAAGGGAAACCTTCCAATGCAGGGCCCAGTTTAGCACTAACCAGTGTTTAACTCTAACCAGTGGATAAATTCCCCTAAACCCCGTTAACTAAATGACGGATGAAATTGTGTTTCATAAACAGTGTTTAAACAGTCTGTTAGTTAACTGACCTTTAAATAATTATTTTATCCAGTTAAACACTGGCCAGTTAACTAATTGGCTGTTTTTAGTCAGAACACTGTATATGAAACACATTTTAACCATCTTTTAGTTAATGGGTGTTAGGAGAATTTATCCACTGGTTAGGCTTATCCACTGGTTAGTGCTAAACGTCCTTTATAAAACTGGGCCCAGAAGAATATAAAAAACGGGACTTAGAAAAATAATTTTTAAAAAGTCCTTTGTTTTAGTAAGTATTATATATATTTGTTTTTATTTAATCCCTCACACGAGTCACATGAGGTAAGCATTTAGTTTAACGAAACGGCAATTTACCAACATCCGAACGCGAATTGCTGCCATGTCAATAATGATAAGAAAAACAAAAAGAATAAAAAGTTTTACGTTGGAGTATTTTGCGTACGTTGGGAAAATTTACCAATCTGGTTAAAATAGATTTTCCCAAACATAAACCTCCAACTAGGACCGATTTTACATACCAGTTGATTTCCTTTTTCCTAATTGATCACTTTGCAGGCTCGACTGTATTAGTTCACTGTCTCTATCAGGCGTGGCAGTTGGGACTGTAGCACATCTGTGTCCAGTTTGCAACTGAAGTCCAGCGATAGGGTGAAATTTTTTTATTGATTAGACTGGGTAATTTATGGCTAAGGCTGAATAATATATGGCCCAAAAATCCAATCCAATTAGGCATGTTAATATGTTAGCTCTGCGGAACTGTAGAAACTGCCGCAGGACATCAAATACTGCAATGAGGCCGCTTAAAACATTTTTTAAAGTCGCTATGCAGTGCAATGCAGAGCATCGTCTTTGTGTTGTATTCCATTACAAAGGTTATCTGGGACAGTAAATATGTCTCTAACTTCGGTTAGCTTGAATGCTGTATGAAACTCGTTGGTGGAAGCAACTGGCCGGGGACGGGTAAAATAGGTATACTGATTTAAAACGCTGAAATATATAAACTCAGCATATAAACACTCTGGACAATAGAAGTGTCACCCAATGAATCAGAGTAATCAGATTTATTATCCTGAAAAGGCGGAATATAAGCAATGTCAGAATATCGATATAGTTGAATTGTTCAGTCAGAACCGTTTCTTTTGTGAAATTTTATGTTAATAAAATGATACCAGGAGCATATCATTCCACAGTCATTTATCTCCCCCAAAGTATTGGTTCAGTAGGGGTGACACTTCTATTGTCCAGTGTGTATATTAAATATCATGTGTGCGAGGACTTTAACTATGAATGATGTAGCATTTCACATTAACACGTGTCTCAGCACGAACACACACACACACACACACAGAGAGAGAGAGAGAGAGAGAGAGAGAGAGAGAGAGAGAGAGAGAAACAAAACTACTGGTGCCAACTGCAGAGGACTCCACGTTTTAAAATTAAGTAACAGTGCTGGGGCCGTCTTGAGCATTGTTAGAGAGAAGAGAAGCTCACAGCAATCGCAAATGAAATTCTATCTGATTTTTGTTCAGTCAATCCAGCCATTCCGCCATACATTGCTCAGGCGAGTGACGTCACTCGCAAAATGTCAGAAGTGGAACTTTCTGTGCGCACTCTTTCATTCGAAATGTCAAGGTAAACAGTGTGCCAAACACTTATTAAGGCTATCTATTTCACTTCATGAATCAAAACATATTTCCTCGTTGACTAAGTTAATGGGATGTCTTGGTGCGCAGAAGAGCGTGGACCTGGTGTACTGGTTTGTCTAGCCAGATTAATGATTTAATTCAGTTCGTTTGATAAGACAGTATACAGGAATATATGTAACTGCATATTTATATAATTAAGTATTATATAATTGATCAACCAATTAAAAGCTAATGCTCTAGATAGATGACAAAAAAAGAATCGCTGCCTCATGTCTGAGAGGAAGGTGAAATGCGTCTGTATGTCTAGCAGCACCAGACATACGTCTACTTAAAAGCAATCACGAGATTATGGTACTGTGCGGTACATTGAATTTTGGCAAGTCAAGGTACAAAAATGTCTGGTTTTTATGTATGTTACACGGCTCTTAACTCTAATCTATCCGCGCGATCTTAACCTTTATGTCATCACATTTGTGAGTACACTGTTCGGAGCCTGTTTTTTTTTTTCGGTATTAGTGAATGTGAAGTAATGTACCAGCGTCTGTAAACACACTGTAGTTTTACCAAGGAACACGATTAAGTCGGGGCATTGTCAGATCAGGTCTTAATCATTCCAGTGTTGGGAAGGATATGGAAAACCAAGGAAGTGAGAAGACTGAAAGTGAAGAGAAACAGGTAAGAAAAGCAAGTAGAGACGTATTAGCACCCTAGTTGTAGATATCTCCATTTGCATTCAGGCATGCTATATCTGGTCTCTCTCTCTCTCTCTCTCTCTCTCTCTCTCTCTAGACAGGATTTTTGTTGATAGAAAATTCTATTTTTCTTATATAATTTACGTATCAACATTTTGCAAACTGAGACCAGTTTTCGTTTGAAGTTGAGTCTGAGGCTTGCGTAACGTAGAACTTAGCAAGAAACAAATGGGTAAATGAGTATCGGGCTCCGCAACCTAGGTACATTATTTTTTTAATATAATTAGCTGGTTATCATCCTTTGCAGCTGACTCATGGAGCGGCTGCTGTTCCGCTTCATCTGCCGCATTGTGCAAATGATGAGATCAAGATTGATGTTGTGCCCTTGCCACACTGTGGAGTGAGAGTTATCGTTCAAGACAAGCGGAACCGGCCGCAGTCGAACCAGGTCTGTCTGTCTGTATGTCTGTCTGCCTGTCCCTTGTCACGTCTTTCTGGTTTTTACGTACAGGTAAATGTACATGTAACAGGCCGTGTGTACATGGAAGTCCATTTAGCCGTACATGTGTGTGTGTGTGTGTGTGTGTGTGTGCGTGTGTGTGTGTGTGCGTGCGTGTGTGTGTGTGTTTGCATGTATTCCCATGAATGTAACCGCATGTACATGTATGTGTGTGCCAAGGCCGAAACGTAGATAAATAAATCGTCCAAAGTCGAAATTACTTTTCTGAAGTCTGCAAAACAAATTATCAACAACAGCTTAAGTCGATACACTACACTACATTAAACTACACTACACCACACTATAATGTATGAAATGGCTCATTTCAGCCTAGAGACGGCGATATCGTTTCGTTGTGGTCAGTGATGTCCAATGCAGGAGATGGGTTCCTACAAGTGACCAACGTGAAAGTGGACCCTTTTCTTGACAAAGACGAATACGTGGTCAACACAGCTGGAGAGCTTGACACGGACGCAAGTAAGAATCCAAAGCATGTAGTTAGTATTTCATCATATTTTAAGTTCGAGCAACAGTGTTTTATTTGAAAACATTCCAACTAGATAAACACACAAACATGGAGCAAAGATCACTGCCAAAGATACACACAGATAAATTGTGGTAGCTGAGATCGAGCGGATCCATTGCACAGCGACCAAATAACACATTTCATTATATTTTGATGAAGGCCACTGGCCCCTTTGTCGCAATACTAAAAAATCCTTGTAAGATTCCAGGATCTACTTTTAAGTCGGTCCATTTCTGACCTGTCCTGAAATTTTCACGAAAGATCCATACGTAACTTTTTTTTGCATTATGTTGGTGACGAACAGCCAGACATACGGAGACATAAACATAAGAGGTTATAATATAAATGAATTTATTGTTTTTAATTGCATACAAGAGGGTGTGCGTTACGCACGTCGAATGCACGATCGTCCACATAGCTGGTTCCTCACTGAAAAGAAAGCATTAAAATTGAATCTACTAGGGCATCATAATTCTCAAATACGAGTATGTGCTTTGACCTTCAAATAATGTTGACTTTCCTTAATGAAGATCGTTTGGAACGACGTCTAGTTTATTTTCGACAATCATCAGTAGAAAAGCCACCCAAGACGTAATACTTATCGTTATTATTAAAATTATTATTGTAATTATTTTTTCGTATTTGATATTTAGCAAAATTCATGTGGCAGACAAGGTTTTCACCTGGCAATGCTCACCCTTGGATCAATATTACCGACCTTGACCCAGTTATCCTGAAAATCCGTGGAACCCAGTTTAAACAAGATGGCGACAATTCTTGGTACATTATTACTGTAGACGGAGATGACGTCGTTGCGAAACCAGAGGTGAGAACCTTTCTGCAATGAAGATGACTTGGCTCTTTAGTTTGCCTTTAAATTCAATAATACAGGCACCGTACTATATGGTATCTGCATATATGTACAAAAAACAGAGGATCTCAATCAACTCACGCAAATTTGCAATGGAAAACACTCTTTACTTTAAGAACTTTAAAACGCGTACTAGTGCCATATTTCTATCAGTCATTGCTATTTACATGATCTTACTCCTGAACTGCATTTTCATACATGTATTGTATTGCATACATGTGCATTTCTCCATTCCATTCAAATCAAGAATGTTTTCCCTGGAGAGGATGCAACACAGACCAATCAGTTCCAAATATTCAACCCGTCCAGGTGGCCGGTATATAGCATGCCAGAGGTTGGGCGGAATATCAGGTAAGCTTGATTGACGCCGTGTGCGACTCCAAAGCACCAGCATATCTACCGTATAATACATATGCTTTCATACATCAATAAAGGATATATCTATGAAATTGAATACACGTACATGTATCTTTTGATGAGGGGAAAATGATAGAAATAATGTTCATATGAAATTAAAATTTAGATTATATCTGCATTTAAAAGGTAGGCCAAGGGTAAGTAATGAATAATCACAGTACATAAACAAACCTAAACCACCCATCCAAGAAAAAAAAATCATCTAACGTACTAGTACCAGTACGTTAATGGGCCTATTAATCAGATATAATACACTGCGTAAAATCTATTTTATCATTTCCCATTTCCCGATATCATTTCCCATCATTTTTTTTTTTTTTTTTTTGAAACATTGAAATACAAGAAGTTAAAGTCGACATACATGAACCTAATTGGCCATGGGCCAATTAGGTCACCATCGAAGATTCAATTTGTGAAACAGCTGCAGGCTACAGAGTATAGTTTTACATAGCTTTTTTGTAGCTGTATAGCTATACTAGCTTAGCTGTACATGTACATTGTACATGTAGCTGTAGGCCTACTTAACCATTGTAATTATGCTCATTTTAGTTTTGCATATTCAGCCTGAGTTTCAGTATTCCCCAATAACATGCACAATGTCTACATTCTAGATTCAACATTAATAATGCTGGAAGTAACATGTTCCTTGGCTCAAGTGCAAAAGGCAAAGCTCGGAAAGTCTCGCAGGAAGGAGATCCAGAGGGCGCTAACTACTACTGGCCGAACCCCGCCATTTTGTTTTTTGTCTACGATAGAGGGCAGCCTATATAGGACAAACGTAATTTGTCGCTAGAACAATCAAACAAATCCTTAGTAGCTGTACTGGTGTGTCCATTATGAGTGCCAGACTAAATATAGAAACACACTTAGAATAATTCATAAACTGTAGATTAAAGAATACGGTTTGTCAATCACTGAAAACACTGACGAGGAAAGCTCTTTTACCAATAAAACTTCTGAGAGGAATGTCTTTTGTCTACCGTGTACTGGTTTCTATACATGCGCAAAACAAATGTCTTCAAGTTCGTAAACCAGACAAAGTGTTCCGTCACTTTCACAGCAAATTAACACGTGATCTGATACAAAACCTATTGATTGCAATTTGGGATATTTTCTACTACAGGTAGATGTGTTAGTATGCAATCAGTTTGTTAGGCTTAACAAAAGTGAGGTATTAATGGGCTGTTTTAAAATAGTGCTGTGGGGAGATAAACAACATAACGTTACCATAACGCTTTTTTGTTACATAAACGTTATGGTAACGTTATAAAACGTTCTGTGCCTGCTGGGATGGACGGGAAAGATGGAAGGTCGAGTTAAGGCCCACCCACTTTGCATGTACATTGCCGCTGTAATGTACATGGTCCTTAATCAAATTCCACGTGAAGAAAGGTCTTTGTCACTGTGTGCCCACCAGAGCACTTTGCCTAAAATTTGCATACATCCAATGCACATTTACTGTTAAGCACGTATGATCATTGGCCAAGGCATTGCGAGTCAAAAGTAAGCATATTTTAGCAACTTACACCCCATTCTCATAGATTAGATCGACCTACATTGGATCGACCTAACTCCCTGGGGGTTCACGCTAAATAGCTGTCAGCCGGGCGGACACGAAAGTTAATTACCCCTTAAAGCTTGTAGTAGGCGGGGACGGACACTTAAGGGGGATAATCTGACAGTAATCTAGTGAGACTCCCCGCGGTGATAGATCGATCTAAAAGTTGTGAGAACAGAGCCTTAGAAATGTGTGTGTAAAGCTGAAACGTCAATAACCGGGTAAGTCTGTTAAATAGGGCAGTGGGGAAGTGATCACCCGTTCTAAAAAAGGCTTAAGATTGTACACGAAAAAAAAAGGTAATTACCACATTGGTAAGCTTTCGCATGGACAGCATCTTAAAGAATGCCACGTGTCGCTGCAAACCTTTTTCAAACACCTATTGTTAAATCAGAATATTCCGCAGTTTTGCAACGCCAGACTGAATGAAGCACCGCTGTTAAACATACATGTATATTTACGCAAACGCATCACTAAGCTACATGTTCTATAACAGCTTGCGTCACGAATAAGGAGAGAGAACATTAGCTGAATTTGAAGTAATTTTCATTTGGCAGTAACGAGTTGTGGTGAATACATCCTTTAAGAATCGACAGTAGATATTTGAATGTCGTCATAATTAAAGTCGTTAATCGCGGCAATGCTTTTTAAATCCAACATCCGTTCAGCCTATTTTGGCGCAGCCTTCTGTTTAGCGATGATGACTTGGGGTGTCAAAGGTGTGAAAGGGTACCCCACGGGCGCCCCACAGGACGCGTGTGGAGCTATGTTGCCTTACCATGGACCTCAAGGTGACGACCAATTATATCCCAGCCAGACAGGCCCAGCTCCTTACACCATACAAGTCGCATCCCATCATGGGACCTACTTGCCGGGCAAGGCGATGAACGGTACGTTTATTGCAGTCTGTTTTACTTACTAAGGATTGAGAAGGCTTTCTGCATCCTCAGTCTTAATACTCCGACCTTACTGGTGGTAAAATAGAAATTATTATATTTCCTTGTGTAGTTTACAATGTATTTAATGTGAAATATGGATCTCATACGAAGAGTTGTACGAAGGGGATGGAGTCGGTGAAATAACTGTGTTTAAAGTATTTTCTTTAGTGGTCATTTCTCAGCCAACCATGACAGTATATTGGCTAATGACAGATTTCGTTTTGATAGTTTATGGCGTTTCTACATTTGATGGCCTTATATCAACATCTTTTGTCATTTTAAAAAATTTATGCGACCTACATCTGTAACTACATGTAGCTACTTGCTAGGAAATAGGGATATTACAATGCTCCATTTTATTTTTATTAGATATGTCTCTATAAGAAAAGATCAGCAAACCGTGATACCGTCTCAAACAGAAACTTACACCCTGCTAAAACGTTTGTACCTTTGCACCGGTAATATGAATTGTGTTATGTCCAATTCATGTATGTAACTTGCGCTTCTTTCAGTGACTCTCATTGGCAATGTTGCTTTCAAAGGCTTTTTGTTGCAAGCGAGAGTAACGAAAGGCAACACCCAAGTGGGCACGTGGTCTATTCCCAGTGCTATATCTGCGCATGCGCGTCACGTGGCATGCGGCTGCCATGACGGAGCCGTGACGCACAGGAACAATACAGATAAGAGAGCCCTTACGTTTATGTGGAATGCGCCCCCTGTCGGTACCGGGGACGTGAAATTTGTGTAAGTGTTTCAGGCACCCGCGCCCTTCAAACGACAACAGACAGATTTGCTAAATACTTGAGGGACAATCTGCATTTGTAATCGAACTGGTTTTTATACGTACATGTAGGCTACTATCGGTAATACGTTTGTTCGTAGTTCATACGTTCACGTCAATTAAATCAATTCGATTTTTATGTACAGACACAGATGTGTCTGTACATATAGCCATCACCTGCGTCTGTCGTCGCCGTCGCCGTCGTCGCCGTGCACTTTTACCGATAACACGATAAGTGGAAAACCGTTTTTTCTTTTGGTTTGAAACTTACAGAATTGATGAATATTCATAATACGCAGGTCAAGTTCGAAAATCAGCATGATCGGGCCATTTTTAGGGTAGTTATGCTGTTTTTTCACTTTTTTCAGCATATATGCAGCACCGATAACACGATAAGTGGAAAACCATTTTACCTTTTGGCTTGAAACTTACAAAACTGATAAATATTCATAATACGCAGGTCAAGTTCGAAAATCAGCATGATCGGGTCATTTTTAGGGAATTTATGCTGTTTTTTCACTTTTTTCAGTATATATGCCATATTACTTTTTGGCTTGAAACTTATGAAACTGATGAATATTCATAATACGCAGGTCAAGTTCGAAAATCAGCATGATGGGGCCATTTGTGGGGAAGTTATGCTGTTTTTTCACTTTTTTCAGCATTTATGCAGCAACGATAACATGATAAGTGGAAAACCATTTTACCTTTTGGCTTGAAACTTACAGAACTGATGAATATTAAAAATACGCAGGTCAAGTTCGAAAATTGGCTTGATTGGACTATTTTTACAAATTTAAAGTTATGCTGTTTTTTCCCATTATTCAGCATATATGCAACATTGATAACACATTTTAAGGAAAACCAATCAGCCTTTTGTCTTGAAACTCACAGGAGTGATCAGTCTTACTAGTATACAGATCAAGTTTGAAAATAAGCTTGATCAGTTAAGTTTTGATGAAGTTATTAGCCCTTTTGTATACAAGTGGTTTTTCTTCAGATTTAATTCTTAGGCATGTTGACAGTCTCATTATGGAACTAATTAGATATGAAAAAGTGTTGTTTTGACATTTTCTGCTTCTTAACAATAATGAAGTAATACAGGTNCTTTGCTGCCTTGTTGAACTAATTAGATATATTAAGTTGTTCTTTTGACATTTTCTGCATCTTAACAACATTGTTAGTTGATTATATAAACTCTGTGGGCTAGTCACATTTTCTGAATATCCCTGATACTTTTATTATAAAATTTAAAAAAATTATGGTTATTATACTGTTAAGCATTGTGCAATATTGCATCAAAATTGATCAAAACCCTATTCTGGGCACTGCCTCCATAGTGGCGGTGAAAGGAAAACCATGTCACTTGCTCTTCTCACACTTACAGGAAAGAAACATAGGACTGAAATACAGCTTCAGTTGAAAAATTGTCTCATTAGTTAATTGTTTGGAAGTAATACAGGTTTTTTTGTGAAAATTTTTATCTTTCACATGTTGCAATTTTCAATGTGGGACTTAGAGCTCCCTTGGGGATGAAGCCCAGTGGTAATCAAATTTTCTTAATGTCCATGTTTTTAATAGTAGATATTTTAAAATTGGTGGTATTTAATCAGTTAATCATTATGTAATGTTGCATCAAAATTCATTAATATCCATTAATATTATGTAAAGTAAAGTGTTACTTTCTATTTTTTTAACTATTCTTACAAGAATGATTCTTAGGATTGACATACAGCTCATATTAGAGAACCAGCTCTATTGGATTATCATTTTTATTAAATTTATGAATTTTTTGTGAAATTTTCATTTTTCTCATTCTGGCACTTTCTAATTGTAAACTTGAACTCTGATGGGCCTGGAGCCTTATGCTTTTACTTTCATCAGTGTTACCTGTTGTGCATAATTAAAATTTGATGTTGACTTTGCAGTTAAACATAATGTATTATTGCATCAGAATTGGCAGTCTCCTGTTTTATTTTGTGCATTATTGTTTTCTGCTTTTCTTAAGGTATGACTTATGGGCCTGAAGACCTTTGATAGACAAATTTGTGTGGCCAGTCTGTAAATTCCCCTTGGGTATTCACTAGGCTAATTTCAGTGCTATAAACTCATTTGCCTAATTAAGCAGCCATTAAATGAAATTTCATAAAGCACACTTGTTGATATTTCCCTGTAAACTCCCAAAGGTTAAGCTCTCTGCTAGATAACATAGTGTCCATAATAAGGAAGCAGTGAATAGCAGCTTCATTGGAATTATATTTTTGTTGTTTTCTTTTTAATTTCTTCTCCAACACTGGCATTTTTAAGATGTGATTTTTAACTCCCATCCACCTGAGGCTCTGCACATTTTCAGTATTTCCACATAAGCAGTTGTATTGGTATTTATGTCTTTAAACACGCTGTAATATTATTTTATGCACTGTCATTTTTTTTTTCATATATTGGGACTTTCATCATGTGAATTTTAACTCTCATGGTCCTGAAACTGTAATCTTATTGTAGGGGTGGATTGAGACCATTTTCTGGGTCTCCTGGAAGACAGTCAGATTTTAAAGTTTATATTAACGGGTTTCTGTTGGAAGACCATCAAAATGGAGGATGGATCAACAAAGATACTTTGGAATACTGTCAGAAAATATCTCTAGATCTGCTCCTGTTATTGACCATGTTACCTGTTTTGCATGATTAAAAATCAGTGTTGACTGACTGTGCTATTATAAGCATTTATTATTGCATCAAAATTGACAAAATGACCTATTTTGCATCTTTTTTTTTCTGTTTTTTGTCTGTACATTTGACAGCTTTGCTGCCTTGTATTCTTTATTTTTGATTTATTTCATGGCCTACTAAAGCAATTCATATCAGGACACATTGTTGGCCTATCTCCTGTTAGTGGTAGATGGTGGCAGGGGGTTGAGGAATGGCCCTCATTGTTTGAGTACACAGCAATGAGACACAGGTGGAGTGTGGTTTTAAGTTACCTTTATTATGATTATAATTATTTTTATTATACCCAAGCTGGCACTTCGAAAAACAGGATAATTGCACTTGTATTTCGCTTACAGGCTTTCCTGTATTTTCATATGCTTTGGTGCATTCATCCTGTTGTTGAAAGCGCCAGCCATGGTATAAGTCAGTTCCAGCTACTCACTGGCCACTGTATGCGACATACAAGAGCAAGATATATCTCAACTTGTGTTGTAACTAGTGTTTATTGTTGCTATTGTGTTCATGAACATGACGTAGAGGCTTTTATTTCTCTTATTATCTTGTCTCCATTTTGATTTAAAGTGGAATGCACTTTAGATTATATTCAATATATAACCCAGTTTTTGTCATGAGCATGAAAAAAAAACACATTAAAGGCATTGTAGGGAGTTTCTCAAAAAAAAAAACAAACATCACAAGTAGTTGCAGCAGGAACTGCTTATTTATACACACTGTGTATCTAATCAGGGTCAGTGACAAGGTGACATTTATAAACACTATGTATCTATTCAGGGTCAGTGACATGGTGACTTTGATCCACACCCTGTATCTATTCAGGGTCAGTGACATGGTGACATTGATCCATACTATGTATCTATTCAGGGTCGGTGACATGGTGACATTGATCCATACTCTGTATCTATTCAGGGTCGGTGACATTTATCCATACTATGTATTTATTCAGGGTCAGTGACACGGTGACATTGATCTATACTATGTATCTATTCAGGGTCAGTGACATGGTGATGCAGGTGGGCAGTCTGTTGATGTCCAATCAGCAGGCCAGCATAGCCTCCAGGACTGACATACAGTTTGCTGGAGACCAGCACAGGTATGCTCACACACAGCACAGGTATGTCCACACACAGCACGGGATGTTCACACAGCGCAGGTATGTTCCCACACACACACACACACACACACAGCGCAGGTATGTTCACACACAGCACAGGTATGTTCACACACACAGCACAGTACATGTTCACACACAGCACAGGTATGTTCACACGCACTCATTTGCCAAATACAGCACAGGTATGATGACACACAGCACAGGTATGTTCACACACACACATACACACACACAGCGCAGGTATGTTCACACACAGCACATAAGATGTGTCATACTAAATAAACTGGGAAATAACCCTTCCTTTGGACGTGTCACTGCATTTTTGCATTGTTGTAACTTATGTTTGGAATTAGCCACAAAATGAACAACCTATCCTTGAAACATGCCAAGTAGCCAGTGAACAGGGGATTGGTATGTACTTTGTGCCAGTCCATTTACAGCTATGTCAGTTTACTCACTGCTGAGTTAAATGGGATATCTTCCCATTTTCTTAATGATGTAGATTTTTCTGATTGAACTATTACATCATGAAATAAAATTTTACATAGACAAAGAGATTTAAAAGTAAGAAAAAAAAGTTGAAATATGATATGATTCACAAATAAGTATTAAAAAAAGCATCAATTACTCCTTTTTAATCCTGAAGTTCAGGAGCTGGATGGAGAATGAAACCCTTTGAAGTCATTATGCTGCATATTGAAAAGAATTATTGACAGGTCATTAACAATTTGTTGTTTTACGTGACATTGTTTTTCTGGAAAAAGAACTGGATTTTGTTATTGATGTAACTCTCAGTATTTTCCAGGGTATTGATACCATAATGGCAATTCTGAGTGTCTGTGAAAATGTACTGGTTGAATTATAAGTACTTTACTGACTGTTTAAAATACCTACATCTTCATTGTGTTAAAAATCCCAGCTAAACCTTAGGAACCAGCCTATGATGTAACATTCATAGTGGACCCAGTTTCCCAGGAGACACAGAAAGTGACCCCATTACTCAGGGTGAGTACAGTTTGGGATTTGCCAAATAGTTGACATCTTTCACTCTAAGAGAAGATATGTTTATATTTAATCTGTTTATCCTGCACAAGCTGGAGAAGTTAGACGGAGCCAAGTGGGTGTAAATGTAATATAGTATTGTTTTTATGAAACACATTGTTTTGGAATATAATAAATCACTGTAAGCTGATTTTACATGTATCTAGAATAGATTCTCAGCAGTAAGGATGCATTTTTATNCTAACGGGTTTCTGTTGGAAGACCATCAAAATGGAGGATGGATCAACAAAGGAATACTGTCAGAAAATATCTCTGGATCTGCTCCTGTTATTGACCATGTTACCTGTTGTGCATGATTAAAAATCAGTGTTGACTGACTGTGCTATTATAAGCATTCATTATTGCATCAAAATTGACAAAATGACCTATTTTGCATCTTTTTTTTTCTGTTTTTTGTCTGTACATTTGACAGCTTTGCTGCCTTGTTTTGCATAGATTCTTTGGGCAACTGCTAGGGAACGGCATTCTTATTACAGTCACTCTCTTATGATTTGTTAAATGTCCTTAGTTGTTGTTGTTGTTTTTTTTTTCGCATCCGGGCCTCGGAATTTTAAGTTATATGTATAAGTAAATGTATTATCATTTAAAAGAGCAATATCCATGCGTTTGGAACCTGAATTTGTAAATGAATTTTAACTTTATTTTGCAGTGCCACCGTGGCCCAAAATTACAGCGTGTTCTGGGTTAAAATGACTACCGACATGATTGAAGAAAACAAGGTAAATCATTTTATTAATAACCACAGTTCGCAACGCGCGTGTATAGTGAGCTGTAGTGAATCGGAACTCCCTGTAAAATATACTAGTAGATTGTGTTGTGCGGTACCATACAGTCAGAGAAACAAGTCGTTTGTGAATAGATATACACTGCAGAGTGTCGCTACAGTTTTAAGACTGTATAAAAAATTTACGACTTTTCAAATTTAGGACTGTGCAAACTTAGATTGTGTGTTTGTTAGTCCTCATGGCACAAATATATGTAAAACTAAATACATAAGCCTACGTATCGAGAAACACTAGTGTACACTGCAATATACCCATGTGTTTATATTTAATCTGGCCGGTTAAATACATCCATGTACGTAGGCCTATAATCATTAGAATTGTTTTTCCCGGTTAAGTTTTATTATTATTATGTTAGTCATGATGTGTGAGGTAATTATCCTCTCAATGGTTGCATTTGTACTTTGATTATATACATATACAATTTAGCAGCAAGTAATATGGTCTTCACGGATGCCCTCCTCTCTCTCACTTACTCCGTTTGTACACGGAGAGAGAAAAAGAGAAAGAGAAAGTCAGACTCGTAGATGAATTCATTAAAACAACTCCTTTTTGATAATATAATTTTTCCAGGAAGACAACCACATCAAAAGTGGCGCCTGTGAACTCCAAGCTGCAAACGTGCCTATCGTCATCATCGCACTTCTGCTGCAAGGACTGGTACCATAATAAATTTAAAGTCAAACGTAGTATTTTTAACGTACCCCTGCCAGTTTTTTTCATCAAGATTGCGTCTTGCATATTGTATTACATGTACTGTTACAACATATTCGTATATGTTTAACTGATTTAAAAACAATAAGCGTGGTAGGCGCTCTAATCCACATCAAGGTTGAAGATGTTTTGACTGTTTACAGTACGACTCCAGAACTTTGATCCCTTCTTTTTCATTGTGCTGATAACGCTGAATCCAGTGATGAAGGAGAAGGTTATAGTACCTGGGAAAATTCACAAGTATATCTGTCAAAAACCTTAAAGATATCAGGGTCTATAAGAAGCATGATCAATTTAATGCAATCGTGATAATAATAATAATAATAATAATAATAATAATAATAATAATAAACTCTATGCATCGTTCAGTTTGATCTTTGTGTTGTTTCGTTATACCACATTGCTTAGTGCTTCGGTTATTAGCCAATACAAGTAGGTAAATTTTATATGACATATGCCCCATGTGTTTACAGACATTTTATCACTCAGTTTAATGTATTCTTTACCATGAGACAATTTTCACTAGCTACCTTGGTTTCTTGAAGAATTTATGATATTTCTTTGTATCTGGCGCGGGGAAAATTCTTTCAAAGTCACCTCTCCGATGGTATTCGCCCACAGTTTCAACTAGCATCCTGATATCGTCTGGGGTCAATTTGTCCAGTATACTTTGCTGGGCTACCTGCAAGAGTATCATTTAATGAATTTCTCCAGACCTTTAAACAACGGACTGATGGGTTGAATATTTTCCGTGCTGCATACAAAATTTTCATATTCATATTTCTTCACTATATGCTTTTTCGTCAGTGGATTACTACTGTGGTCATGACATCTTCCTGGTGAGGACTTCTTTCATTAAATTGTTAAAATGAACAGAAAGAATTTGTCACCGAGCTCTTGAACTTTAATCCAAAAGAAAATTCGCCCTGAAGCTAAAGTAGATGAGACAGAATATAATTAAATGCCTGAAGTTGAGGCGCTTTTACAATTTTGAACAAGGACTCTTTCAGACAAGCAAAGATGAAGAAGGTTAGAAATTACCTCGTCGGTGATGCCAGTGTATTTCGCATGTTTTGTCTTTTCTTCGTCTGTGAGCGGCTGTGTCCAAAGGTTTCTATTCATTACAAGGTGTTCTGGAACCGCGTCTTCTTCAGTGCTAAAACAAACAATGACTTAATTAATGCACGGAAAGCGAAAAACGAATGATAAATAGATTTTACCCTTTTTGCCTATAGCACAATATCATAGTGTCTAAAAGATATCACAGTGTCTAAAAGAGTGATCATGTAATTTTAATAATTTAAGTGACAGGCACAAACAGATATGCTCTATTTCAATGATCGCCAATATTTTTCTTTTGGATCTTTAAGGCAGTTTTGGTTTGATGATGTTATTTTGCTTCGCTGTCATTCTGTTGCAATTTTAAACATAAGCAACGTTCATTGTCAATGTTAAAATCTAGTACGGTTTTATTTGTTCTGTACACTGATCACATCTTTCATAATAATAATAATAATAATAATAATAATTCAAAAATACTTCCAATCCAGCATTGGCATTCGCCCAGCCTTCAAATCACTATACTACAATAACCTTTTATTCTTTTCATGTATCAGCGTTTCATTCTCTGTATTATTTATAGCACTAGGTCACCTGTGTTTCAGTTTTGGTAGCATCTCTGCAGCGGGAATCTGGACCCCAGCCAGGTTGAGCATAGACGCCAGCATGGGCTGCGTCACCCTTTTCAGAATATTCCGCGGAAACCTGAGGAAAGACTTTTTCTTATCAAAATATTAAAAACCCTAATTAAAGTCAATAAAGACATTTCTGTTATGTTATGACTATTGTTAGAAAATTAACTGTTATAGTAACCTTGCATTTCCCCCTATACATGTAGCTAGCGCCGCCCCTTTGTATGAAGAAAAGATATGAGACTCTACAAAGCGTAACGCAAGCTCAAGCCTGTATGTTGCTAGGACGTCGCTTCTTGTCTGGAACTGTTCAAAATAGATATATGTAACATTTAAATGAGTTTTTTTTTTTTTTTTACCTTGGTGATACGTTTACTTCCATAAGCCATGCCTTCAAGTCTTCATCAAGGAGAATGTCAAATCCAAATAACTCATGTACACTGTATCGGTTCTTTATGAATGCACGAGTGCTTTTTCGCATTTTGGCTTCACCGCTTGAATTGGGAAGGAAGAAAGAAATGAATGCATCTATAACGCAAATTTATATTGGATAAAAAAAGGAAAGAGGACTGCTCACACACACACACACACGCACCCTAAAAAAACATTAATTGACCCAAAATAAATCGTAAACCAATTTAATAAAATTTGGCAAAAATTGACAATTAATTTATTAACTTTTCTTGGGTGAGCATGACGTTATTAGTTTGATAACGTAAAAAATATGTTTTCCTTTATAAACTTTAGAGTGGTACAAAATATCACAGAGTGTACTCTCTGCCCTACAGACAAACAGTGTAAATTCTTTCAAAACAGATGTACTTAGAATGTGTATCATATATTCAAGCGCACAAACCTGTCTGGCAGCAGAGTTCAGGTTAGCTGTCCTCACGGCTCTTATCTCACTTTTTTTTTTTTTTAGAATAAGATTAAAGTGTACTTACGTTAAAATAGTTTTGATAACCACATCTTTTATACTGTCCCAAATAGGTTGGTGTTCAACACCATATTTCTCTTTTAAATAGCCCCATAGCCAGGTAAAGGACCTGAGGAAGAAAATGGCGTGGGATATATAATAGAAAATCATTGATAAATCAGCGTAAATGACTTAAATATACATTTATATATTAGAAAATGTGAAGAAGATGGTTTAATGAGAAGTGTAGTATCAAATAATACGTACAGTACAATAATACGTACATGTATAATAATACGTACAATCATAGTTTTTCTAAAGACGAATATTAATCGTGAATTGCCGCGCAGGAGACACTTCTCTTTAATAATTCCATTGCCAGTGGCGGGCTGAAGTTGCTGACGCCTAATACGAAAGTGTGATCAACATTGCCATATACGTGTACATACAGTGTGTACAGACACAGTGCATGAGCATTTGAACCTTTCCCATACCTAGATCGATCTAGCAGGATGGACCCAATGCTGAGTTTTTTTTTTTTTTTTTTTTTTTTTTTTTTTTTTTCAAAATTGCTTTCAGCTTAAGCGGCTCTAATGGCTGGCACGCCTACTGAGGCTGTGAGGTGGTAATTAATCTCGTTAAGCAGCTTCAGTGGGCGTGCCAAACATCTACATGTTGGCCGCTTAAGCTTAAAGCAATTTAGCAAGAAACTCCTCGGAGATGGGTCGATCCTGCTAGATCGATCCAGGTATGGGAATTGGGTCTTCCATACCGTCTATTTCCGCGTTCCATATTTTCATCGACGAAGTAGCCCGAGTCTTCTGGGACCACGTCGCGGTTTGTTAAATGTATCGCTCTGTTGTGTAGGTCGTCCATTGTGTATCTAGTAAGTGAAAACCAAATAAATAAGAATTAATCTGGCATTTCCATATAAATGACACAGGAAATTTTGATTTGATTCACAGATTGCACTGTCTAATGAAACGATGGGAAAAGTTAACAAAAGCGTATTAAGTTCAACAGCAACGTTTCTAAAATTATCATATTTTTGTTACTGTTTCATAAAACAAAAAATAATAATAATACTTCGTCCAGTTTCCTTACCAAAGAATTTAAAAAGCATGTATGCATTTGAAGATTCCAACACACACACACACACACGAGAGAGAGAGAGAGAGAGAGAGAGAGAGGGAGAGAGAAAGTAAGATGTACTCACTTTTTAGCGGATATTCGAACACTTCCCTCATTTAACAAATATATCCGCAGCGGATCAATACTGGTGACATGAACATACAGCCTTAAGTCCATCTTAAAGCCATCGCAAAGTATTGGATTAGGGATATACCTAGAAGAAGATACCTAACCGTAAATAACTAACACTAAATATGCTATTCGACCTTTATGACATCAATCCTATGGGCGAATTATTATTATTATTATCATTATTATTATTATTATTATTATTATTATTATTTTGATGAAAAGACCAGAAGGTTTTCCAGTTGTGGTCACGCGTTTAGCTCGACTTTTTCCGCTTCAACGCAACAGGATGTTAACCAAAACTGTACATGTATAATAATCCAACGATTAATAAGATAACTGCAAGTAAATAACCATGCATTCAAGTTACTCTCTGACCCCAGGGTCCGCTAATAATCTGGTACAAAATCATTGCACCGGGCCTTTATTTTAATTTTGTATGCTATTTTAGAGGCCCCTGATATCAGACATAAGGTTCAAATAAATATAAGTGACCTATAAAACATTAATTTTTGATTTTACAAAATTGTGTGTCATATTAAAAATGTTTTGATTTTTTTGAATATATATGTTACCTTTGTACAACGACATATTCGTTTTCGGGAATCTGTTTCCAGTCGTTTACAACTTCAATCCCATTTCCTCCAAATGTGCATGACTGTCCAAAAAGATAATTGACATACATGAATATCAATATATTTTATGTATCATCTACAAAAGTAATCATCCAACATATAATCCAATACTAAAACAACAGCATTGTACTTCACCGAACGCAGGTCGAGTGTGCATGTTTGGCTGAGTGGGTATGTGTGTGCACGCACGCGCCTGCGCACCCGCACCGCTGGTTCAGGGGTTCATACAGCATGTGAAATGACGTAATTGCTGATTTTTCGAGTTTGATTTTTAACACGTGCTTGATTTAACGTGTGTTTGAGCTATAAATGTTCCAGCACTTGCTCTTCTGTTCGCTCTCAATATATGTTCACATATGTGACGCGAGGGATATTGAAAGTGAAAGGCATGAGCGTAACATAGCTCAATTGCTGCGTTAATGAAAATCAATTATATTGACAATAATTTATATTATTCATTTTAACAACATACCGGTTTCAATATCCATGCACCTTTTTCCGTGCTGTCCCACGCCCTTTTCAATGATATCCTATCAAAGGGTAAAATAAACGTTCTAGGAAAGAACCCATATTCTTCACTACCGTATTTGATCTTAAAATGCAGAAGATTCCCGGCGAGTTTATCTTTACAACCCAAGATCCAACTGTCTGGAAAGTGATTAAACTGAAATAGAAACAGACATTCTTTTAAAAAACTATTATTATGATTCACATCACAATATTTGATATTGCAGCAAGAGGCCGATTCTGAGAGGCGAATGGCACAAAATGTCAAAAATAAATAAAGAAAGAAATACAACTTCCGTAATTTTTTAGACAATTGTAATTTGAAGTGACCTTGAACGTGAAGTCCCGGGCCCTTCAGGATGTTGGGTAATACGGGCCTCCCACAAACCAAACATATAGAATTTAAACCATTATTGAATTGAAATGATTTATCTATATAGTCCTTTTATTCTATGATCTGATAATCTTGAAACACGCTTGATTCCCTTGGTATGGTAAAAAAATAGTTGGATTAAATTCTTATGGTTCAATTCCGAAGGTATTTATTATTATTATTATTATGATACTAAATGAAATCGTCATTACATGCACCTTCTAACCTTTTGATACGGACGGACCATTTGATAGTACTTTGTCTCGTTGATTTGATAAGGAAGACTGAAATAGAATGTGTACTCCCCTGCATCTGAAAACGAATTATTAGAGCATTAAAGTTAAACTGTGTTCATATAATTGCGGATTCAGGACTTGAGTAGATGGCAAATGCGTCACGCAGCCCCTCCCCTTGATTAGGCTTTGGACACCCCCCCCCCCCCCTTCATTTTATCTTCTTTCCAAAAAACAGTATAATGGGAAAAACGAGATAAAAAAAGTAGTTTGCCAATTCCTGTGCTCTTTAAGGCAAACATTCCTTGGACAATCCCTCCCCCCGCCCTCCGCACAATTATGGACCCACCTTTGTCTTTCTTTGTATTCAATGTGTAATAAGAAAAAGGGAACATTTGTTCTTAGCGTTTAACAGAGATTAATGCCAAAGTCGATCTTGTAAATTTGAAAATGTACAGTCTTTTGTATGCCTGTGTATTGTCATGTTGTTAAACAGGCTCCAAGGCAAAATACTGAAAGCAGCAGTATAACATATGAACACTGCCAGCTGAAATATACATGGACCCCCCTTTGCTTCCAAGAGGAATAGACATTAATCATCATTAAGGCCAACAATTAATAAAAAACATTGGACGAGAGTGAAGAACATGTCCTTAAACGTCAGATTCCTTTCTTTGTAAGGCTGTTATCATAATTATGGCAACTATCATCAACTAACCTGTACTATGTGTAAAACCAGACCGTGAAATATAACCTGCTATGACGGAAGACGGATCACCGTAATACTTTAGCCGGCTCCGTATGGCTGGTGGTAATTCCTCCACTGTAATATGAGAAAATGACTAAATAAGAAATTAATTTTATGATGGATTGGAAAAACATTTCCGGTTGAGATGCTGCACAATAAAAGGAAATACATTTATTAACGAAAAATCGCCAGCATTTCTCAATCATGTAGAAACTGTTATTTTTTCTCTACTCGCCTTGGTGATATCTGTACATTATACACTGTAAACTATAATTATTATGAATTACATGAATATAAGGATATTATTACTGCTACAAGAACATTTACTACTAGATTCGTGGCACTAAATTATAAAAGGTTGCTAGGATTTTTTTAAAAATTAAAAAATAATATGAAATGTGTTCTAATTTAAGCAAATTTCCTCAGTAACCCCCCCCACCCCACCCCAATGTACGTAGGCCCTACCTTGCTGGTCTGGCCTGACAAAGTTTATCGTTGGTGGAACATTAGAAAATAAACTAAGGGTCAACGCGGGCTGAGCGATGTTCTTTTTTTCGTGCTTTTTGGCGATTTCTTCAGTTAAAGGCGACACCGGTTTCCCGGAGGGACAGTCGTTGGTTCCAGACGATGACTCCTGGCCCTCACCTGCCTTGGTCGCACACTGACCATCTGTGGTTACCGCAGGGTCACCTTTTCGAAAAAAAAGAAGAAAAAACTTTTTAAATGGCATTGCTTAATGCTGAGGTGCGAATCAACGCACAGCAGATGTAACCACCGTGCGGTACATTTATGCGACAAGAGTGTGAAGAATGGTAGAGATCAAACTGAGAAAATGTACGTTACACATGTTCATGTCAATGAACGTATTTAGCCCATCTGACTTACTTTGCCTCTAAGTACATGTAGACAGTATAGTACCCTACACTACAGTAAAGTACTGCTTTTCTGACTATGTAATTATATCAACCATCCAATGACAGGTTTATATATATATATATATATATATATATATATATATATATATATATATATATATATATGAAGGCCAGTGATACATATAGCTTTAAAATATGTGAATGTATTACTTTGGTAAAATGTGCAATATTACTATAAATAAAATAGGGCAAACAGATATGAATGTGAAAAAACGTACCTGAAACATGTTCACCTGAAGCTAAAATCACTAATACAAAAATGCGAAAAAACTTGTCAAAAAAGCCTTTGCACATTTTCATTAAATCCTTATTTCGTTCGATGACGTTGCAGAAAAAATAAGTTTGAATACAATTAACCTTTTACACGCGCTTATGCAGCCAATGTGCGTAAATGATAGCGTCCTAAGAGAAGTCGTCCACCGTTAAAGTAGTGACTTTGCAGTTTTATCAATTGAAGAAAAGCGACGGAGTCTGATACATGTGTGACCGCCTTCTTCAAACCCATGCATATGTAATTGGCACACCATCTAGGTACAGACTGGTTCAAGTCCGCAATTATTGAAATTATCTATGCATCCATGCATGCCCACCACATGTACATTTGTCGGGTATCGGAAGTCCCCATCTCCATAATCGGCTGGTTTAGATTGTAGATGGCGTAATTGTCGGATCTCTGAAATTACCTGTGGAATATGCTCAATAAGCAAAGGTCTAGCCTGATTAGATTTCTGCTACATAAAGGTGTTTGAACTCGACTGATAAGAAGAAAAACACCTTATCTACAGTAGATGCAGCGGAACTGAATACGTGCAAGGGCAAACTGATATGAAAACACATATAACATGAAAACACAAGTGCCGGTCCCGTGACAACGATAATCTTCTCGGTTAAGCCACAAGAAATCGGTTTGTGTACATTTATTATTTACCATATGTAAGCGGCGCATCTGAAACATGCGCGCGTACATGATCGCCCAGGCTCTAGGTTAAGTATTTTTCCATCTCTCCGCACACTCATATACTAAGACCCTCTTGTAAAACGTTTTCCTCGATAAGAGTAAAGACAGGCATTTGAGGACATTCCCAATGTTTCACACGTTTAATTTCACAATTTGCGTCTCAGCCGATATATTTTGATGTCGTTAGTCTCTTCTTCTTCAAATACGATATCACAAGTGCACATTATTTGTAAGAGAAGTGAATAAACTATCAGTATGCCTAATTGGTATCTCGACTGTGAGATAAGGCTGCAGACGACGTAGACCAGTAATCAAGAACTCCCCCATTATAGAAAGGCTCCAGATAAGAATCTTTCAGTGCTCTCATATTCAAGACTGCTATACCCACTGTCCGCCTTACTCGCATTGTACCAGTTACTCGCATTGTACCAGTGCACAGTAAGCTGCATGTTTTAGACCGTTGAGTTTTATTTCCAAGAACATGACAAACGCACGGTTATTAGCGGTCGTTATATTTTTGAAAGTTTTTGGATCAAGTGCGGACATTACAGGTAAGTTGCCAAAAATATTGTGCTGATTTATTTATTGGAAATATCCCTGGACATATTATTATGTTCAACGATCATTATTTGTGCACAAGAAATATATTTGTGAATATACTGACTGAACCATCTACCACCTACAGTAGAGGGCAATACGTAGGTTGACTCGTAAAATGTCACGGAGAATTTTTTTTTCAAAATAAATGCCAAGCTTATTTTAATTTTGGCAATATTGCTTCTTGTATATATAAAACCTAATAAATGGTATTCGTCCAGCAAACGATGTCCACAGTATCGTATCCATGGGGACGGATCCCACGGGATTGGCTTCCTCAACCGAGACGCGTACGAGCTCTGCAGCGGATGCGTGTTCAGAAAAACGACGTAAAGGGCCTGTGGCTACAGATACAAAGCCAGATACACCTGCAATGACAGATCAACACCACGACTGTGATAGCATAAATAAAGCAAAGGAAGTATTGAAAGATGATGTCATACAGCGTAAAGATGACGTCATACAGCGTGCGCTAACTCCAAGCTTGTTTTCTAACGTCCCGCCAACCATTCATTTTGTGAGGCAAGAGGAACAAGGTAACTTTTTTAAATTCATTTTATCTCATGCATTGTGATGCTGCAGAATATACTTCAATTCCATTGCATATACTTCATTTCGTATTTTTGTATTCGACATCTGTTACTTTGTTATTTATTTATTTATTTATTTATTTATTTTATTTATTTATTTTTTTTTTTTTTTTTTTTGCCTAGATTCATTATTTCTCATTTCTCCCTATCTTTTTCAATTTTTTGGTTCTCTTACATTCTTTTTACCCTCCTTCCTTCTTTCCTTTTTTTCAGTTTCAATCTTACAGTTTATTTATTTCAGTCAACTGTAATCACGCAGTGACGTTAATTTCCCTATATTTTAGTGGAGGAACTACCGACTGCTGCAAAGAAACGTTTAAGATACTATCACAGTATAAATAAAGTCATTGAAGAGTTCGTAACCAGAGTTGGTTTCACACCAACAAAAGGTATGTTGAGTCTTTGTACACTGATATATAAGCGAAATTAGACCGTGACCGTAGAACTGATTCCCGATTTCAAAATGGCGGACATAACCTGTTTTCCAGCCCCAAAAAAGGAGGGGGCAAATTTAACCAAAGGTATAAAAATTGTACAAAAAGTTTGCTCCCTCTTTTGTCGATGACTGAGATTCACGAATGTATTAAAAGTGATTGAAGAAATGTTCGATAATTGTATTTGTCCAATATACTGGTACATTGTATAAATACCCAATTTTTCGTAAACATGTTTATTCTTTTAAAAAATTTACCTTCAGCCAAAATATATGACAGTATACCATTTGGTATCACATCATAAGTGACATATTAAATTAGCAATAAAAACTACTAGTAGTATTCGGTGCCTGAAATTTTATTTCAAATTTTTTCTTGTCCTTTACAGAACCCCAGATACACAGCTTCTACTTTGGCCAACCTTACCAGCTACACCGGACAGATTCCTATCAGACGGTTAAGCCGCACCAAAAGGTATGGATAAAGTTGTAATTGAAGCTTTAGCTTCAAATTCTGGCTTAAAAATTGTCAATATTAATAACAGCAATTTCAGGATGTGCTGAATACAACCAAAAAAAATTAAATAATTAGAAAAAACAGCATGTGAACGAATTGAATCAAAGCTTGTATTTGCATGTAATTTAAACTAAATAAGTTGTTATTATTTATTTTACTTGTTTGTTTGTTATTTGTTTCTTTGTAGTCTATTGTCCCTTTTTGCAAGCGTACTTGAAACAGAGACCCTATTTTCAGGATATATAACACTAAAAAGTGTCAACGATATTTTCAGTTCAATCATTTCCCAGACTGCTGGGCACTTGGTTGCAAACATCATCTCGCAGACAATCTACAAAGACATAAACTTAGACATGGCGAAGATGAATTTGACTTCGCTCCCCAAACTTTTGTCTTACCGCGGGACAAGGATGTTTTCCTGCAAACTTTGGATGAAAGCGACGAAGATCAAGCGTGGATAATTAAACCGGTAATAATGCTGGTAGTGTTAATCAAAATAAAAACAAGAACGTCATAAAACAAGACATTCTCTTGGATTGCTAAGGGGGTCAGTAGTGTAAAAAAATCCATTTATCATTATAAGAGTGAACTGAATAAGCCATTCAACAATATGCAGTAAATAAATTATATTTAAAATATAAATAAATAAATAAATAAATAAATATTCAAGTGAAATGTCTTTAATGGATGCCGAGGCCTTGTTTAAGTTATTATTATTATTATTACTATTATTATTATTATTATTATTATTATTATTATTATTATTATTGGCAAGTGGTAACACACTTTTCCATTCTCCAGGCTTGCAGTCATGGTGGGCAGGGTATTGAAGTGATAACCAAAGGGCAGCGGGTGATCGTAAAACAAGAATCCGTCGTACAAAGGTAATAATGGAATGTATGGGACAGAACCGCATGGGTGGAACGACCGAATATGAGAATGGTTGACTGCCGTTTTTGAGACTGGAAATGGGGAGGACGTTTGGGAATGATTTACTTAAAGGAGTGCAAAAGATGATGTCTTATTATGGGCGTGTGCACATTACATGTATGACAGCATGTTTATGACGTCATATTTCGCCGAATAGACTTATGAAAATAAGGAGGGATCTGAAACTATTATGGCAATAATATTTTTTTATCTACTGACTCTAGTTATTTAGCAGGACACAAATTTATTTTAATTTTTTGTATTACGAATAATAATAATAATAATAATAATAATAATAATAATTATAATAATAATAATAATATTATTATTTGATTTATTTGAATTCTAAAATTCAGTATAATGTACAGTTGGAATTACATAAAAAGAACCAAATACGTAAAAAGTTTCCATGTTTGATCATAAAGATGCTGTTATTTTTTTCTTTCTCTTAATTGTATATCTCGTCACCACCAGGTATATACCTAACCCCATATTGATAGACGGACATAAGATGGATATCCGAGTTTACGTCCTCGTGGGGAGTATAGATCCTCTGAGGATCTACATGTATGAGGAAGGGCAAGTACGGATAGCTCATGAAAGGTTAGTACAACCGCCCTCTCGCTCGGTGTCGTACTAGTACATGTACCACAATAGGGGAGCATTTCAGTGAAGTCGGTAACTCACACGTTTTGTGTAATATTTGCATAACTTTTCAGTTTGTTTTAAATACCTGTTGATTTTGTTCTCCATTGGAGAGTAAAACACCGTGAAACGGCGAAAAATATAATAAAGGGACAAGTCACTGTCAGGCAAATTTTACATGAAATGTATGCGTTACAGACGCGACTGAAATTTTTAGATATATTTTTTGTTGAATAACCCCTGTATGTGTGCTTTGTAAGATCATCGGCCAGTTTGGTTGTGGGCTCAGAAGGTCAGCGATAAGCTGACCGATAGTGATGAGAGGTCAGATGGATCACAGCAAAGGTGATTATCGGTGCTTTAACACATCTCACATTTTTAATTTTTTTCTGCCTTGTTTTTCCTGGTAGATGGTACTCTGAGAGATTTGGTCCTCTGAATGCTTCTAGGTTTTTTTTTTTTTTTTTTTTTTTTTTTTTTTTTTTTTTTTTTTTTTTTGTGACACTGTTATGTGCATGCACAGTAATAATCAGGATAGCATAAACATGCATATATTTTCTATTCTATTTTATTCTTCTATTCTATTGTTGTGGTGAAACCAATTAAGTGAAACCAATTAAGAGAATTCAAGCTAAATCAAGAGCAAAAATGTATGTTTATTCACATCTTTCTTTTGATTCAGATATTCCACGGATAACTTCAACAAATTGACGACGCATCTAACCAACTTTGACGTGACCCTTGCGAACATTAACAACGACGTCAAAAACGCCGCCAAACACAAACGGTGAAATACCACTTTAAGCCTTGTTACATTGGTATTCCCAAAGAAAGAAATGATTGAAATTTTAATAGAAGATAGATTTAGGATTGATTGTGTGGAACACATTTATAGCAATCGCTTCCATTGTAAATTTTTCTTATATTGCAGCATTTCTTGGTAAGCTAGTGAAACTGGATAGGATGTTTAAGCACCTCCTTCCACTGCCAAAATCATTTTGGTAAAAAATTGTGAATTTGGAAATATAGAGCATCTTCTTTGAAAAATGTGAAAAAAGTCATGGCGAGAAGGAAAGGGTCCTCGATCATCCTGCCTCCGCTTTTTTATTTATTTATTATTATTTATTTGTACTGTGCAGAATGTATGTGATATCGCAAAAACGAACAAGTGTTAATGAGTTTAAATAATGACTAATTTATATTTATCTACAGCAAACCGCTGTCGTGGTTTTGGGAGCACAGTGGTGTCCAACGACAGCCAGTGTGGGATAAAATCAAGGACATCGTTATCAAGTCAATCATTAGGTACGAGTAAGACCTGGAACATTTATAATTAATTACGAAATTATTCAATTAAAAAAATTAGATTGTATACTTAACCCTCGTAGGTCATCATTATTTCTTTTACTTTTCATCCATTTTATGATATTTTATAGTGGGCACAATCTTAAGCTTTGACACGTGACATCCTCATTTTCTAGATGGTATTTCTTTAAGAATATCTATCACATTATTTTATAGCTAGCCTATTCACAGACATGATCATCACTTAACATAACTGATCCCCAATATATTGAAATCTATTTCTACTTAAACTTTATTTTAATTTCAATTTTGTCATTAACCTCACGAACAATTCTCCAAGCAATCCGTGCTTTTGCCACGGACACGGAAATAAACATTGTGATTGTTTTGTCATTGTTGAAGGTACACTCCATGAAATTAAGTCGCCAAAATGGATTTTCCCGGGAAAATAAGCGAATTTGTCGTACTTACAAAACATTATCTAAACCTCCCTGGACTTACATATTCGACCTTTAATTGAATTTATAAAGTTTTAATTTAAGTTTAAAATGACTGGTCGGTCATTATAAAAGAGACCATATTCCTATAATCCCCAATAGAAATATCTACATCATGTACGCTCCAGAAAAAAATATTCTGATCAACTAGTCTATCACTTCCCGCATATATCGCCCCGTGCCTATGCCCCCCTTCCCTGTTGCTCTCCTTTACAATAATATGAGTATCAATAGTGCTATCACAATTATTACTATCATATAATCATAATTAATTCATTTAGCTACTATTAATTATGATAACGCAGGCGAGCACATAATGCTGTGGCGACGTGCTGCCTGCTTGGAATTCATTTACTTTGTATATCTTTACTTTATATATATATTCCAGGAGGAAAATCATTTAAAGGTGTATGTAAGGTTTTATAAGAAGCTAGGGATGATAATAATAAGCATTTTGAGGATGTTCATATCCACAGAGTGTACCTTTAATTATAAAAAAAAGTGTATATTTTGCATTCAGCGGTGAAGCAAAGATACGAGACGCAACCCTATCGAACATGGCAAGCAGATACAGCAACTATGAATATCTGGGATTTGACATTTTTCTTGACGATGATCTAAAACCCTGGATTATGGAAATCAATACGTCGCCCAGGTTAGTAGACCGTTGGTTTCATATAGCTACTCGATGGGCTGCACTCTTCCTTTTTATTTTTTTAGTTTTGAAGACGTGTTTGTTTAAAGTTCGTTTTGTTTTAAAACCAAAAAGACCGAGCCTAGGCAGACAACATAAAAAAAAAAAAAAAAAAAAAAAAAAACTCAGGGTTCCGTTTATAAAATCTTAACAAAATTAACGTAAGAGACCATAATTTTGTTTTACTTTGTTCCAAGATAAATCAACAGATTTGATATATGAAATATTTTGTCTCTGTACGATCTAATTCAGCTTTTCTCTTTTCATTTTTATTTCATTTCATTCTATTCTTTTTCACACTGCATCATAATAAGACTTGCCATTACGCAGTGCATTGTAAATGTCTTCAGAACGAAAATAGAATAGTTTTATTGTATATTAGGTTTTATTTTTCTTTTAGAATGACTTATAGAACATTAAAAGACATGAAGAGCCGCATGTACAGAGATTTGTTGAACCTGGTTGGCGTTCAGATTCCAGACCAAGATTTAGCGAATCCGAAGGAAAAGAGGTAACGGTATGCTTTACATTAAACTTGACCATAGGACCGGTGCGTTAGTCCGCTAGGAACCGTAGTCTGTTCCCAATTACTTTGTAAGGGTGACATTCGCCCCATATAGTAAAGCCAATACTCCAACTAGCCCTAACCTTTAGTTATCATATGGGGCCCGGACTTTCATTACTAGGCCTAAAACTGACAGTGTGCCTTAATTTAGAGTCGTAATTTTTTTTCATTTCAATTCAGAATAAATATGTTTAGTCCACCAGAATAACACCACTTTTACCTTATTATCATAAAAGTATGCGCACTTTTTCGCTCATTTAAAAAAAAAACAATATTGTTAATTAATCTTTTTTCAATTTAATTTTAATTAAGATTAAAATTGGCTTTCATAGACCCAAACTTTGTCCGAATTTTTTCAAATCTCCTCGGGCATTTCTAGATGTCATTTGATATTAACAGAACTAAAAAAAAGATCATGTGCTGGGACACATATCCGTACACAGTTGCCGGCGTGCATGTTTGTATGTGAGCTCATATGAATGTGCACTACAGAATTGTCGATAACATGCCATTCAGCTGCAGTATTACAATACGGCAGAAATATTTATTTTGCCCTCCTCCCCCCCCCCCCCAAAAAAAAAAAAAAGAAATAAAATAATAAAAATAATAATAATACATTCAAAAATAATTCTGTTGTTTACCATTCATCTTGATATTTTTTCCAGCAAAGACACGTTTCCAAAACACCTTGTTATGGACCACCGGCTGTGGAATTACTCTCTAACTAACGAAGAAAGGGAAAAACATGATACCTACACAGCCATTAAAGACGAGGTAGCTATATTTGAAATTAAAATCATTAGTTTTAGGTTATCCCTTTTCCTAAAAATAAAGCCTTGCGACTTTTATTTCATACTAGAGATTATTTAAAATGTCATTGATTTTGGCATTAAGCAGCAAATATAGTGCGCATTTCGAAGGGCAGGCTCCATTAACTGGTTTCTCAAACAAAAATGCCGACTAAAATAAGCCAAAAATCCTTAAGATTCTAACAATTAAGAAAACTTAAGACACGCCAGTGAAAAGAAAAACGAAACAAAACAAACTGTCCTTTGACTTTCACAAGGTTGCAATCACATCCCTGTGTCACTTGCCGTTGATCACTCTTGTTTGTTTTAACAAATTCATCTCCCTGCGAGAGAGAGGTCGTCTAATTCATTTCATTCACTTCTTATCTGCAGCAGATTGTTTTAGACCTTCCTCTTTTTTCCTTGTCAAATAACGTCCATCAAATTTTGCGTGCAAAGTAAAATAAAGATTAAAACTGAAACTCTGTGTAGATGATGTATTTGAGAGAATTAAAGCACTGTAGTAAATTCATCTATATGAAGATGTAACTGTTCATCTACAGAAACTCCAACAAGCCATGCTGGACGACCTGAATCCCGATGATATCCGGATCTTGATCGAAACTATGGATGAAAACAACCGCAGGGGCGGGTTTGAAAGAATATTCCCAACGCCTGACACAAAGAGATATCACAAATTATTTGAGGGCCCAAGGTATGTCTTTATTCTAGCAATAGGATTCTATTGGATTGTTCTGTATGTACGTGTATGTAGGCGTATGTATTGTATGTACGTGCACAGCATGGGATGTTGGTAATGTACGCACACAGTGCCACATTTGCAGAAACCTGGACGTTTTATCTTAATATACGTGACCTCAGAAGATCTCTCCACCTTGTAAAAATTCTGTTAAATCTGTTCTACTTTTTTTCAGATATTATAACCTCCTCCTCCATCACTGGATTCAACGTTATCAGCACAATGAAGAAGAAGGGATCAAAGTTCTGGAGTCGTACTGTAGACAGTCAAAACATCTCCAACCTTAGGGAACCAAATTTGATAATCCTGGTATAGCATCAGTTGTGGTCATGGATACGACGTGCTGTCGTATCCGCCTGAGGACTTCTGGCATATCTTTAAGACTTGATAAAAAAAAGGAAAAGACAGCAAAAACTTGTGATAAAAAATTTAGATGGACGTGATTTTATTAGGTGTACAATTCTAGTAATTTACTTTTTTACGTCTTTTACCCTTGAGGTGCTAATAAATAAATAAATAAAAATTAATTGATGGAACATCGCTGCTTTGCATTTTGGATTTCTTTTTACTCTAGCGGAACGTCAAATAAAGACTCGTTGAAGCCGTTACCCTCACCCTTAACATAATAATACGTACTGGCATCTGTAACGGGTGCAGCAAACGTGCCGAAGTGTACATGTCTTGGATTTGTGTACAAGACATACAGCGAATGAAGACTTGAAGACTTGAATGAAGACTTGTTTTTTTTTTTCAAGATTAACAAGTACATAATTTAATATAGACCTGTTTTGGAGCAGTATCTTTAAGCCAAGACTACACATTTGTATCCTTGTCTAACATGGACAATAAAGGAGATACACTGTGCTTGTAGCTGTTATGATGATTGTTCCACAAAATTGTTTTCAGACCTTTCCATGACAATTTCTAATAGATCAAGCAGATAGATTGCACTAATACCTGGCATCAAATGCCAACCGAAGGAAGTACGTGTTTCTATTTGCTGCGACAGGCTACGGTTCACATTTATTTTCAGAATGATTGCCAATATTCTTGGTACCCCAGGTTTTTATGTAGACCAATGCGATCTTCGTAGATCTACGATATAATATTTTATGGAATTCAAGAAAGACGAAACTAATATGCGTTGAATTTTCAAAGGTAAAATGGCGATTTTCTGATCGAGTTATTTCGAGTACTCGATTTCGATTTCATCCCATTGATTTATTTTAAAATATTTAAAGAAGCACATCTTCAGACAAAAGGTTTAGCAAAACCGACTTGAACCAGAAAAAATAACTTAATGAAAAGAATGGTTAATTGATGGGAAATGTATAATAAAATTAAAAAATAATAAAATAAAATAAAATAAAATAAAATAAAATGAAAAACGATACAGGTCTGAAGAGCATTAATTATCTGAAATAAAACTTAAAAGGAGCATGCCTTGTGGACATTCATCTAGTCTCCGAGATTACTAATAGGTCATTAGCAAATGTACAGCAATCTCAAGATACTTAAATCTCGAGATGTATCCCAATTAAGCTTCAAAAAAGCATTTATCGGCCCATGTTGAGTTAATGAAAATGAACCGGCTTCCAGCTTCCGCAATAAACAGTTCACCCGGGAAAAGCCTGGCAAAATGTGACAAAGCCGCGTTTTCCGTGATGCCGTACAAAGCTTAATTGAGTATGGGTGGCATTCGCGGTTTTAATCTTAGCTTCGTCCAAGATAGCAGACTTACTAAATATAACAAAGTGAGGCTAGTCACCACTAAAAGCCCGGTTGTCTATAGTAACAGATTGGATCCTCATCCCTACGTTCACATTCCTCTCTCCATTGGTAGCTGGCCTAGGATTAGAATTCCTCCAACACGTGGACCGAACCCTACAAAAACATACCATTTCTTTAAGGTGCTCACGAAATTTGCTCCCAAACAGACCATAAATGAAGAAGTTGACGGCCGAGTTGAGCATGACCACGTCGCTCAGTAAGGGGAAGGTATAGGGGTTGGCCTCTGTGGGTTCCGTGAATGTATGCATGAACTGGGCTACCGACGTGAAGAACTGCGTCAACGACATCAGAGCGACGATGATGACCACGATTTTCGTCAGCTCATTCTGATTCAGGTTTCTCACTGCCGACGCCCTGCCGTTCCGCCTCGCGTTAGAGAATGCAGAAGAGCGTTCCCTCAAACGTCTCAGGATTTTAACATTCAAGATGACCACCACCGACACCGGCACAAACAACAAAAATATCACGTACAGGGCGAAACGGTACAGAATCTGGTACAATCTCCAAGATGGCGACTGCTTCATTGTTGGAACCATAAAGCAATAGACCGTCGTGGAAGCATTGGGGTCCCCGCACAAACGATGTCCTTGGAAATCTGTGTCTAAGAACTTTGGCAGATTGAAGATGGTGCCGAGAACAACAAGCGCGAACACGGGAAGGTACCATTTTGAAGGGGCTTGTTGCGGGCCGGCATCCAGGTGGTCCGAGCAGACGACATTGTGGCGTTCCAGTGTCACAAACACGGCAAGATAAATGACAATCGTACCCGGAATGAAATTCAAACCCCAGACGTACTTGTAGTACCCTTGTATTGAATGGAAGTAGCTTTCGAACCAGCCTGTGTAGGGGTAGAGTGACGGGATGTTATACATAATGAACTGGCACAACAGCATGGCGTTATCGTTCACAGCGAGGCAGATGAGGAGAAAAGAAGTTCCAGATTGAACCTCCATCCTCGCGAATACCAGGATTGAAGTCGTATTGAAAATGATACCGACGAGGCAGATGATGCTTCCAATGACGCCCCCGACAAGAAACGTGTAAAAGTTCAGCGACTCTGGGTAAATGTTCAGGGTCCTGTAGGGATCTGTAGAAAAATTGCCCATTTCGCTCGTAGCGGTGACATTCCCTTCCATGGCAGCAAGTTTCCGCGACGTGTTCTGTCTAAACAGGTGTTTCTTGATGTGAGACTCGCGTTATATGTCGATCGTCTTCTTATATCAATCCTGTCTAGCATTAATTTCTTTCCTGCGAATATTGATGCTGTTGTGGATTATCCTGTCTTACACTGTAATGTCCTTTTTCCGGATAGGTATTAAAAATGGATTTTTGTTATGTCGAAACATATATGTCTTCTTACTATTTTCTATTTCGCCCTCGCTGGCTGGGGTTCACAGTCAGAACTCTCTCTCTCTCGGATCATATGTACATGAACCCGGTACACATCTACGCTGACGTTTGCATCCTATGTGTACCATGCACGTGGGAATAAAGGCAAGCATGAAAAATAAGAATGGGAGGCGACAGATTTTTTTTTTATAAACTGTAAGAAAGAAGGCGCACAGCAGAAAAATAACTTATGTTACACATGCTATTTACGAAGACAACCAAACAAAACCGATCCGCAGAATTTGGAGAGTTAAAGTGATTAAGTAAAACGAACAAAAATCTCTTTTTTTGTCAAATAATATGTACATATTATGATGACAAATATCTAACATAAACTACTAGTACACCAGACTCCATTCAGATATCACTTAAATAACAACATGACGCTTTTACGCAGTATATACCTGTATGTCTCTTTATATGCCGTATTGACTCGATCTTTCCAATGGGGAAATTGTGAATTTTACTGATATCGTATTTTTTCAAGTCATGAATTCTTAAAATCAGAACATTCGTACTGAGTGGTAGCAACAAAATTATATAACATTTCTTTGAATACGTCTCAGTACCTCTCTTAGCCTGTTCAGTACACTCATTTTACCTCTGTTAATTATTTCAAATGACACCCTTTTAATTAAAACTTAGCATGCGAGGCGCTCACAATCGAGGTAAAAGATTAATTAAATCGCGCAAGAGATGCCACTTTGGCGAGACAAATTGTCCCATTGCACTGTTCATTACGAAATCTGGAATCCCGGTTAATTCCATCAAATCGTTCGGGAGCGATTGCGTCAGGCTATTATCCAATAATGATCTCAGATATTAGATTAGTATGCACCAGGCAGGTATTTATAGTGCAGAGGATGATCCGATTAAGAATCCCGCTCTTCAAGGTATAAAAAGGTTGGAGGATATGAGGCACCCAATGGGGGCCAGGTGGGGGTGGAGTGGTCTAGCGGTGAGCAAAGTTTCTACGTGCCCCCCCCCCCTCTCGATTGTTTTGGATATACCTGTATATGCACCTCTTGTCTACCCTCTACCATGGTGGCAGATTATATAGAGAAAGACGGAAAAATCCAGAGCCACACAGAGCCAAATGACTGTCTATTTATCTAGAGACATATCTGTGAATATCTGTGGAAAATCAATCTGACGCCCTGGTAAAGGGGTACCCTTTGTCCCTCAAAATAAGACAGCAACAAAACACTGTCCCCATCCTGTCATAAACTAAAATTGTCTTCGTATAGTAGTTTTTATTTGCCGAGGCATTGTGCCCCTCTCCCAAACCCCACACGCACAAAAATGTGCCCACATTGGCAAGTTAATTTACCAAAACTGAAGACCAAGCTAATTCCATCGAGCCAGCCTCAGGTGGTAATTGGTTCTTGGAACTTAAATGGGATACATCTTGTGATATCATTTGTCTTGGGATCACTTTACATAGGTCAATTATCCAATAATGATCTCCGACAACAGTTTAACATTCGCCTGACATGTATGCGTAAATAGTGTTAGAGACACGATCCTGCTTTTGTTTTAGTCCTCGACAAGTTATGGCCTTCTTATTATTATCACATTTCACTTTTTTTCATATTTTTATTTCAGACAGATATTTTCATGAAAGGTTAAGAACCAATATTATTTGTGAGGGATTTGGCCGGTCTGATGGCCCTCTCTTAGGCCACATGAGCAACATCTTGACAAATGCATTCAGCAACACGTGGCAGATTACTGCAAATTGCTATTTAGTATGCTAATGGGACTTGAAGCGTAATGCTCCGGATTCTATTTCTTCCGATTAAATCTCTTGTTAATGTTCGGTGGACTGGGGCGAGGACATACTAAATGATAAATGCACACGTTTTGCTTCGCACAAATATATTATACATTGTGCTATTTAAAACTAATAGAACGTTCATGCATTTAGGCAACAATTAAAAAAGCGACAGGTTTTTATCGGCATCAATGAGCGCAATAAATTTAATATTAAAAAAGTGCCGAGTGAATACACAGCGTCACAGCGAAGGTGGTGGTGGGTTTCTGTAGATTATAATCAAAACAAGAAATGTGTCGATATCCTATTAAAATTTTATTTTCTAGTAAGTTTAAAATCTCCATCTTTATTGCTTACATGCACCGTTCTTACAATACTTCACGATGACCAGCATTCAATAAAACTATGAGTTTGATCTTTTTGGAAGTCTCATTGCACTGAAAGTTGAATTAAGAACTTTTGACAACATATAAAACAATCTGAAAGCACCGTCGTCTACAGTCGTCGCCTACGTGAATATCTTGCGAAAAACGGACGAGGCGTGGCAAATGACCTATAGATGTCACCAGCAGCAATATATCACTGTTGTTCATTTTTTTAGTCTTTTTCTATGGTATAATTTAAATGGTATAATTTGACTTCGTCTTTGTTCACCAGCGGGTGAAATTTTACAAGACACCCGACTTATAATTGAATGTAAAAGACAATGTATCGGTGTGGTTTGTGAACATATCCATTAAAAAAAATTAAAAATAATAAATAAAAACACAAATAAATAATAATGGATTTCAACAAGTGTGACCAGGATAAAACAATATGCAGATAATATTCATGCAATAGTCATCGACTGGCAGTAACACTACCAGGTAAACTCTCTCTAAGTTATTTTAGACTTGAAACAAAGCACCTATGAAATGTAAGATTTAGTGGTTTTCTACACAGTATTGTATCTTCTCATCATTTCATGACATATGTTATCTCAGATCTAAACAATATAGTAAGTAATCTGACTGAGTCCTTTATATGTACTGGGCTGCTCTCTTTGTTGTCAGCTGGCAGCTTGTTTTTTCTTTTTTATCATGTCACTGATGTATTTGACTCTGGCAACACAGTCATCCTGAAAAGTAAAGAAAATTAAATGAATCTGTGATAGTGTGTGATTGAATTCACTATATAGATTTTTGAAAATGACTAAATATTATGGAACTAAATGTTACTGTTACAGCAGCAATTCACTCAAAGAACATGATAAAGCACTATTTTTCATAACCATCATTTTCTTACTAGAATAAAATTTAAAAACAACAACAACAACATCAAAATGACTCTGAGACAATAATAAATAAATAAATAAATAAATAAGCACATAACTATGTACCATTCAAAGGATCATAAACTTGTACAAGCATTGGAAAAAAAAGCAACTGAAATCTCAAAATGCCATACATACCTTATCTTTATCTGGCACATGCTCGGCTATTTTCTCCCATCTCTCTGCTGTTCCTCTAGGATACTGCGCCAGTGCCCACTCCAACACTTTCTGCTGTGTCTGGCTCCAAAACTGAACTGATTCCTTTTGGCTCCCATCACCCGCTTGGGTGGGAACATTTTGATCAGATTTTAAATTTTCCTTCTCGGTTTCATTTTTAGTTTTTTGACTGGGTTCAACTTCAGAAATAAGCAACGTCCTTTCTGAAGATTTTGTTTGTTTATTTCTGCGTCGCACTTTGTTTGTTTCAGCTGACACACCGTCGTCTGCTTCCTGCCGTCTGCTAATGGTTGTGTCACTGATGACTGCATGCTTTCTGCTCCCTATGACACTGCTGTCATCTGGTGGGCAAAAATGAAAGAATCTATCAGTTTTATTTCCAATCAAATCAATAACAATTACAGCAAACTTAATGCATCATATTAGCAGTGATTTTTTTTACCCTAGCATGAAAAGCTATATCAAGCAAACATTTCTTTGTCCTAGTTTAGAAAATAATTAGATTAATCAAGTTTGACTATGTATTTTCTTTCTTTCAAAAATGGATTTTAAAATATAGTAAACAAAAATGCCAAAAGTCAATTAAAATATTTTCTTTTAAATCAACCAAAAAAAATTATGCCAAAATAGAAATTACAGATTTATGAAAACATAAAGAAATATAAAATGAAACCTCACCTACTAAGGCAGACCCTGCCAAAGACTGAGTATTAAGCTGTTTAGCCTTGCTGATTACATCAGGAGTGGAACGTCCAACAAACTCGGCTATTTTCTCCCACCTCTCCTGTGTCCCGCTGGGGAACTTGGACACAGCTTTGGCCAGAATGGACAGGTCATCTGCTGTCCACTCACCAGTCTATGGAGAGAGAAATAATAAAAATAACTGTCATTATAGAGAAAATTTAATGAATCTTATGTGCCAAAATGGCTTAAATATATGTAATACAAACATAGATATGTAAGAATGTGACAGTAGGCTACAACACAAAACACTAAGCTACAACTGTGCATAATAACCATATAATTACAAATTATCTCATTTAACTTTCCTTTTAGAAGTAAGACTTATTTGGTAAATTAAAAAATAATGGTGATACAACTGACTCGATGTAGTTATATTGCGAGACTGAAAATCCCGAAATCAGGCATAATCTTGAAAACTTTCACCCATGGAGAAGGTCCATAGGCTGAGAAAAATGTTTGGATTTGTACTGTAGGGGCAGTACTTGAAGACCTATACAATGTTTGATACTCCTCTAGGTTGAAGAAAAAATAACTACAGATACTTCTGATTGACTGGAAGAAAGGGATATGGTAACATTTCATAAAGATCCCCCTCAAGTTACATCAGATATTGAAGTCACGTAGGTTTTTTTTTAAATCCTAGCACTGTGGTCTGTGAGGTAGGTTTTTTATTGTTTCGTCTGTAATGATGGTGAAATGTAAATTGTTTTTTAAAAAGCCTAAACATGCTCCATGCGTTCTATCTATGAAACGTGGCATTCCAACCCTTCATTAAAGGACCTTGATCTCATAACATTACATCACAACAAAAAGTGAGTAATGCAATCAGAGCTCTTTCAAATTGATGAAGCCACAAAATTTTACAGCTGCTAGGTTGAAAAACACAATCATTTAGTCTATACAAAAAAATGAAAAAAAAAAAAAAATAAAAATAAAATACCCAGCCTAATACAGTACTTAGAATACCTTTAAATTAGAATTCTTCTTCTCTTCTGTTTTGTCTTCTCCAGTGCTATTCACACCATATACAACAGGAACAGTGTCAGTCTCGGGAGCCGTGTACTCTGGCAGTTCTATCTTTTGGCGCTTCTTTGGTTTTCTTGTTGGTTCTACATAAATATAAAGGCAGTTTTTAAAATTCAATCATGTTGAATGCAGTAAGTCAAGCATCGTTATATAGGAAATTAGACCTTTTGGTACTTTTCACAAGACCTAACCCAATCTTTATTTCATTTTCTATTTCTTTATTGATTTATTTGTTCAAGGTTAAAACACAATTACTTGTTCCACCAATCCTTAATTAACTTATTTATTCCTTCTTTCTTTCTTTTTTTCTTTCAGTCTATTATCTTTCTTTTTGCCTGGTAGGGGAAAGCGTAATTATTTGATCTTTTTTAACTGTGAATTTCACTGATACTGTTTAGTCATAATATCTTAAAATTAGAAAATTCCTTTTGAGTGGTAGCAACAAAATTAAAAATCAGGCTACTCTTTAGTGCTATCCTATGCAGCATAAGCACCACAATTGCCATATAGAAATCTAATTTTTGTGATTATAAAATAACCTATCTGAAAGTTTGATAGTTTTTGCCCATTGAAAAATGAAAGTAACTACCGTACCCGCAGCTTTCATTTCCTCCTCCTCTTCTCTCTCTTTCTCCTTTGCCCTCTCCATGGCCTGGCGCTCTTCCCACTTCTCCTTGATAAGACAAACCAGCTGGGGACTGGCAATAACTGTTTTGACACACACCACTGGAAACCTAAACATATGCAAAGCATTCTGCAGCATTATCTCAACTGTCACCACATGGCAGTCAATGAAAAGCAGAAGCAGGGCCTGTTAAAAGGGCTGTGGCCAGCAGTTTAAAAGGGAGGGTTCTGTTTCTGGATAGGGAGGTGGATCATTCACCCCTTTACTTGATGCAACTTGAGAAATTGCATAAAACCCGAGTAGATCTTATTTTGAATCGAACTGGATCATTTCAGCATAAAGGGTGGTTTTTTCAGTTGATAAAAACTGATAAAAGTCACAATGAATGAGACCTTGGTGTTGTTGTTGGTGGGTTATAACATGTCATGAATTTCCAATCTCATCAAGTATCAAATATATTAATCATTATTTCCATTATTATTATTATCGATTTATCAGTTCAAGACATATACTATACTATTATAATATGCATTAGTAATACCTTAATATAAATAAATCCTGCAGTTTGGGTCTGGGTATAGACTCCAGCTCCTCTTGTATCATTTGATCCACAGCATCAAGCTCACTTTCAGCTTTTAATCTGGCCTTTTTGCCTCTCTTTTCTTTCTTGAATCTTGATGTCAAAACTTCTTCCTTGAATAGTCATTTCAATATACAATTCATTAAATGTAGCAGAGATTGAGCATCATAGTTTCATATACAATTAAAATAAATTGACAGAAAGCAAAAGTCAATATACACAAGTTGCGACATTCTTGTCATACAACAATGATGTCATCTGATTAATAATACGTTACTTTTACTTTACTCTGTTTGATAAAAATATCATTTAGTAGTCATTGTTACATAGATTTACGATGACTATTCCCAGATATAAGAAGGGCATTTAGACAGTATAAATGAAAATGTTTTTTTTTTTAAATTTTCGTCTGCTTTTTTTTTTTTCTGCATGCCAATCCAAACACTTCTCCTATCAAACCTTATTGGACAGAATATAACTTCTCATACTAACCACTTCAAATTTCTTCTCCAGGTACACAGCCCAGGAGACTAAGAACTGACCGATGGTGAAAATAACCAGAAGAAGGACAGTCATTTCAGCCAGTCCCATCTTACGGACTTTCCTGTAGTAATAAACTGGCATCCTCCAATCTGGTAGTCCATTAACCAGAACTTCATCATACCTATAAATAAATAAATAAATAAATAAATAAATAAATAAATAAATAAATAAATAAAACTGATTGGTGTCATTTTTCATGAGCTTAACCTGATTGTGGTAAATTTATACAAATCATCAAAAAAAACTTTCTAAGCTGATATTTCTCTACTAGTTTTTATTTAAAATCTGTATGTACTTAATGTTTCGACTTACTTCTTTCTTTTCTCCTCATCTTTAAGGATTTCGTAAACAGAAACCAGCTGGAATTTGAAAATGAATAAATAAATTAATAAATGAGGAACCCATAGTATGATAAAAATATCAGTGACTCGTTTTCCAACACTTCAAAAGTTCAAGAACCCATGCTTGGTTACAACTACTTCACATTTCCAAACTTTTTACTCATTCCTTTACATATTTCAAGATTTACCTTTTATGATTTAATTAGTCACAGAAATAAAGTTATAGCATGAAGCATCTCTGAATTAACATTAATTATTGAAATTATTTCTAGAAAATTGTTTTTGAATATTACAAACTTATTTTGTTAAATTATAATAATAAACGCCATAACATAACATAAAGAAAGTATAACCATAACAATTACATTTTTTAGGCAAGTTCAAGTAAAATAAAATCCCACTGCAATCCACACTAAATGTATATAGCTGAAATAAGGAGGGAGAGAAGGGGAGCTGAAAACGTTTATATTTTACCATGAAATCATTGTGCACCTAGATCATTTTTTAACCCAAAAATACCTTTTTTACTGGCAAAAAGGGAAGATGGAATCCTGTTGACTATAGGCCTGATGTGCCAGTCACTATGAAAACCACACACTACTTTAAATTACCTGTCTAAACTTGATCTCAGCATCATCTTCTTTATTCCTATCAGGATGGAGAGTAAGGGATAACCTTCTGTAAGCTCTTCTTATGTCACCTGCTGTAGCAGTCTAAAAAATCAGTGAATGAAAGATAAAAAAAAATGTATTCATTGTGTGGAAAAAGTGTTTACATAGATCTGTATAATGTGCAAAAAAAAAAGCACAGTCTGTCACAAAATCACAGATTTTACACCCTCTGGACCGTTTGCTTCCTTACGTTAGTTAGCACAGCTGGTACAAACGTACGGTATATTAGAAATTGTAAACATGAATTTCATGCTACTCAGCCTTTTCACAACTGATCACACTCAACAATTTAACACAATGATACCAAGGAAATGATATTTTGTATAAACCCTTCAACGCCCGTTGTAATTTTGACAGCAAATATTAAATAATAATTGTGTTTAACAAACTACCAGTGATACTGTATGTTTAAGCAAACTACTAGTATATTTGTTTTCGAAATCTATAGAAGCAGAAAACATTCGAAAATTGTAAGATCCTCTCAATTAAAAACGTGATAATATAATAATGTTGATATTCTAATCATACATGCACTGGCCAGAACGTCAAATACATCTTTAACTAATTTAGTTATAGGAATTTAGCGTTTTACATGTACTTTTTGTCTTTTAGTTTGACACATCTAACACATTAGATCATACTGTACCTGGTCTACACCAAGGAGTTCATAGAAATTTTCATTCACTTCTTCAACTGCGTCAAAAACCTCTAAATCTTCATTGTCCCAAGCAATAACATATGACAAACAGAGTAAAACCAAGAAAATAACACAGATGTAGCGTTTGACGTGGGTTCTGCCGGCCATAATGTATTTCCGCGTGATATTTTGTCTTAATCTAATTTAAACGAAATATATATCTGTATGAAATGCATATTACTACAGTGTCCCTATGTTGTTATTTTGCATACTATTGTTTGATATTTTGGAAATTTATCTGTGAATAGCTACTCTACTTGTTTTTTGATAAGTAAAAAATTACGTTGATGTTTCAACTTTACGGTGCGCAGTGGTTTGTTTTCTCAATGCGCATGTGCAGTGACCTGAAAATGCACAGAGGAGATTTTGTTTGTGAGAGGCGGGATGTGATTATAGCTGGAATTTGACCAACATGAAGGAGATGGTTGGTGGTTGCTGTGTTTGTTCAGACGAGCACGGATGGGCAGACAATCCCCTGGTTTATTGCGACGGTCATGGGTGCAATGTAGCCGTTCATCAAGGTAGTTTTCGATCGGTTTAAATTGTCCCATTTTCCTGTTTGTCGGCGCTTACGGCGTTACGCACATGTTCCTCTGCCAAATCAAGAAGTTTACTTAGTTTTATCTTACCTGGGCTATTGTTATTCAGCAAAATAAATAAAAAAAGTATTTGTGATGTATATGTTATTTGGCCAAAGAGACGAAATGATCGATGATCTTGGAGATCAAGGATAGTTTAAAGAAACTGAATGAATGAAAGGAAAAACGTGGTCACTTGTTTTGATTGTGTACAATGCGTAGAGTCAGTGAATTTGCATATAAACAGTCTATATTCTCAGGTGTTTGTATGCTCTTTTGTTTTTTTTTTTTACCCAGCATGTTATGGTATCGTACATGTTCCCACTGGACCATGGTTTTGTCGAAAATGTGAATCGCAAGAAAGGGCAGCAAAAGTGGTAAGTCCTTTATTTTAACAAAATCCCCCCCCCCCCCCCCACACACACACACACACAATCTTAGAAGGGAATTGCACATGCATCACTGGCAGCTAAGAAATGCCATAGTAGTAGATGCCAAATAAGTTGTTTTGCACAGTTATGTAGCAAGAAAGAAAATCAGGTATTTTTAACTTGCAATTTCACCCAGGGTTTCACGTCATACATTTATTTGGGCAGATGTGTTAGATTCTTTGAGTAAAGAATCATTTTTCTGCTATCTTGAGTTTCACTTGCTCTGCCATGAAATTAAGGCTGAATGGAAATCAGCCCAGACAGCTTAAATTGTAATATCAAGTGTAATTTTGTAACATTGGGGAAGAGGGGCCACAATTACTAACCGACTAGCAAATCTACTGTGCAACAAATAAAAGCTGAAAATTTATCCACATTTTGTTGTTATTTTCTATGTAGTGTTGTGAAATATCAAGTTATTGCACAACAGCACAAATTCAACATTTAGAAAACCATTGGAAATCTAGATCTCTCAGCTGGGAAAGGGGGAGGGGGTGCTTTTTAAGCCAGTTCATTCAAACCCATAGTCTATACAAGAGGTTCGCAGGGACACACTAATATATATTCAGTGATAAATCTTGTCCTTTTGGTTTTATTGTATGTTAATGGCACTCTTCACCCCAGATAACATTACACATCTGTCAGTATTGATCCATGTGACCTTATTTCACCCACAGAGGGCAGCACTATACAGTGTTGTGCAGGAATTCTACAGATAGGGCTGCTTCACCAATGTCAATCGGGTTTCAGTGTCACTTTTGATTTCTGTTTCAGCGCTGTGAGCTGTGTCCTCAGAGAGAAGGTGCATTGAAAAGAACTGACAATAATGGTGAGTGAAAGACAAGTACATTTTTGAAAAGCACTTTTCCACCTGTTTTCCACCAGGCACAGGAGAGAATGCAAAATGAAAATGAAAAATAATATTGATAAACAAATAAAAAGATAACTTGCTTTAAATTGTTACCTATTTCATTAATTAACTTGGGAATCGAAAAATTATTGAGAAATATATGTACGCATTGTTTGTACTTTATAAGAATCAATAATAATAATAATAGATAAACAAATAGTGTCCTAGTCAGTAATTCAGTAATTGTGTTTTATGAGAATTAACTATAATACTAAAAGATGAACAAATAATTTTCTTTATTTCAATAAAAAAGAAACTCTGTGACATAAGAGTAATACATTTTATGCCTATGACAAGCTTCTGATATATTCAGTTTTGTAGTAAGTTTATTGAGCAAACAGTCTTATTGTTAAACCTCTGAAGTTCCCTTACAAAACAAAACAAAAATAATAATAATAATAATAATGATAATAAAATAAAGAATAACAAGATATTTTAGCAAAGATTTTTAAAATTTTGTCATAATATATTTCAGGTTGGGCCCATGTTGTATGCGCTCTATATATTCCTGAAGTACGTTTTGGAAATGTGACCACTATGGAGCCAATAATACTGAAGTTTGTCCCTCATGAGAGATACACCAGGGTAAGAGAGAGAGAGAGAGAGAGAGATGGGAGGGAGGAGGGTTCTACTTATATGTCTGTTAGAGATATGCCTGGATAAGAGAGAGAGAGAGAGAGGGGGGGAGACGGATTCTACTTATATATCAATGAGGGATATACCAGGGTTAGAGAAATAGAGACTGGATGGGGAGGGAGGGGGAGTCTACATATATATATATATATCTATAAGAGATTTACCAGTCTGAAAGTGAAAAAGAGGGAAAGAAGTAAGACTGGAGGGCATATGGGTAACATTTTGTTAATTTGTATTACATTATAATGACTGGCAGTGGTTTATACTTTGGAATGACAGAAGATTTTTAGACGACTTTTGCTAGAAGAACAAGTAGGCTGAAAGTGTTTGACACAATTTCTGACTGTTTACCAAAAAAAAAAGGGGGGGAGGGAGATAAAAACTCCACAAATCCACGAGTCTGTTGCCTCTGATGGATGGCTTAAATCACTGACTAAAGCAAAAGTTATATAATATTTTCTATTTGAATGCTAAAGTTGAAATGAGATTCTCTAATATATTTAGACATGTTACATCTGTGAGGAGCAGAACCAGGCTTCTAAAGGCAGTGTTGGAGGCTGCATGCAGTGTAATAAGGCTGGCTGTAAGATGTACTTCCATGTCACCTGGTAAGTGATTGATAGCCACAGAAACCAGGGGATGAGGGGTACCCTCTAAGTATGCCCCTTTGACCCCCCCCAACCAGGTGCTTACACACACACACACACACACACACACACACTATGGAGGTGCAAGCTGCAAAAAGATGTCCTTTATCAACCGCATGAAAGCCTCACTAGTTAGGAGGTCTCTTTAAGCTCTGCTTGTCACTTGTTGTATGTGTTATTTATTATAATTATTTTATTTATTGTACCACCAGCGTAGGCGCTGGCGGTACACATGGTTTTAGTCCCGACCCGTATGTTCCGCCGGCTCCTGCGGCTCCTGCGGCTCC